GAAAACTGCAAGGAGCAGCTTACACAGATGAGTAGGTGAAGGGTGAGTCAGATGAGAACTGAGAAGTGTAAGTTGCATCTGGAAGTTTGGACATTGGTCCCCAGAACCAGAACCGTTTGTGTGCCCTACCTGGTGAAGGCAGAAGGCAGGGTGCAAGCATGCAGACATCTTGTTAAGTGACAGGAAGGTGAAGAGGCAGCAGGGGTAGATTGTTCTTTCTAGAGTTTGTCTATGAAGGGGAAAGGAAGAGGATAGAGACAGATAGCATTTACACACACGCAATGCACACAGAAAATGCATTTGCCTAGTGAGAGCACAGGGGAGTTGGTGGTGGTCCCGTGAGGGGAAGGCCAGGTCAAGAGGGAAGGTTCTGTCAGAAATTTGATTATGTTTACAGCCCTTGGAATGAGGGCTGATGGTGAGGGAGAGATTAAATGCCTGTCAGATGGATGATTAAAGGTCCTACCCTAGCTCAGCATAGACTTGGTGGGAACTTCCTCAAAGGCATACAGAGGTGAGGGAGTGCCTCAGAGCACGTGAACTGGCGTCACTCTGAGTTATCAGCGGGAGGGAAAAACAGGAACAGAACTCAGAGAACAAAGCCAAACACTACTGGTTAACAAGGGAGGTAACCTGAAGGCTCAGGAAGCTTTGTGAGGATGGTGTGAAGAGCCCAGAGACTGAGAAATGGTCAACAGGAAGGTGGGTCAGATGGAGCAGTGCAGGAGAAATGAGTGGAATCACTGTCCTGTTGCATGGGGTTGTTCTGTGCTACTTGGAAACACACCGGATGAGGGAAGGGTTCTGAAAGGTGGAGGAACCTGACCAAGCGGCTGGCTGTGCACAGTGTGTTAGGCTAACCTTGGGAAGGAGATGTGAGCCTGCTTTCTCTAAGACATGGATTAGAGATAGAAATGAGGGAGGATTCTGGGGAACTTAGAAATAGAAAGGCTAGAAATTCTTTGAGCAGATGATTTTTTAAAAATCATGTCAGTAATTAAGAGAAGTTATTTGAGAAGAGGGGGATAGGGTGGGATTTAGGGCTTGAGGAAAATGGAGAAGATTTGGAAAAATCTCTGACAGGAACCATCCAGGGATGAATACAGGTTTTGCCAGGCAGTATTGGAAGGTCAGCTGTAATTAGATAGCATAAATTTGTATGGAAACCTATTGGCATCATTAAGTGACTTTTACCAGCAATTCTCAGGCCATAGGGAGTAGAAACAAAGACAAAAGACTTTGAGGTTTAGCATGGCTTGGGCTCTGGTAAAGTAAATACACTCCAGGTCTTGGGCGCAGGGGTGAGTAGGAGGAGGAATTTTCTGGAGAAGATATGATTAGATGACTTCAAGGTACAGAGTGAATAAAGAGGCAAGTGTTACTTAAAGGACGTTGATAAACTCGGCAAATGAGGAGTTGGTAAGTAACTCATGGCCATTGAAGAAGAAATTAAAGATTATTTGAGTGAGTAAATGGGACAGTTGGGAAGGTCAGGGGATTATGGCTAGAGGAGAGAATTCCAGAGTTGAAGATTTTAGAAGCAAACAAATGCATTCTGAATAAAGGTGAGGGCCAGGTTGTGGGCATATGGCTGAGAAGCTAAAATGAAATAGAAACAAAGCCTGTTGGCATTGGGGTCAAGAAATGTGAAGCCAGAGTGGGTATCGAATGGAGGATTAACAAGGATGTTTGAAGCTACTGAGGAGACAGAAGGTGCCCAAAGTAGGTAGAGAAACTTGATCCAAAGATGAAAGTGTCGAGGAAAATGGGAGACTGTCTTGGGTTCTGGATAGCTGGAGAGAATATGATGTAGCTGGTGCTGCTTAGGGGAGGCAGATGTGGGTGATCAGGAGGACAAGTGTGGTCTGCAAGCAGTCCGGAAATGAAGAAAGATGTTCTGTAAGTTGGCTGTTGAAGCAGAGTGGGCTCCACTTGAGATGACTGAGAAGGATGTGTCATGGCATGCAAGGATCAGGATTCAGTTTATGTGTGATGTGGAAGGAGCAGCTGAAAATGGAGGGTAGTCAGATCCTATTAAGACACACTTGATAGAGGTTACGGTGCAGAAGAGGGGCTGGAGGCCCTACCAGGCCTGGAGATGTTTGGGAAGTGGAGCTGGACTGGGATAAACTTCTCGTAGGCTGATTTGGAGTTCTCAGAATAGGACAGTACTCAGGAGTGACAAGGACAAGGGTGATGATACTGAAAGGTAGAGGCACCTGCTAATAGCAGCAGGCAAGGAGAGAGTAAAAGTGTTGTCGCCAGTGGGCTGGAGGAAGTTAAGCCACCTCAGGTTTCTTATTACAGCTTTGGTGTCTCCAACTGGTATGTCCTCTTGAAATGTTAGTGTGACCAATGGGAACCCTGGCATGACCAATTGTAATGGCTATTGGAACTTTAGTGCAACCAATTAGTGTATTATTCATGTCAGCTGGAATGTTGGTGTGACCAATTACAACCTGGCAGTAAAACAGCTAGAGGCATTTGGGGCAATAATGGGAATAGAGTAGATTCTTAGCTTTCAAGAGAGCCACATTCTGAGGCTTTTTTTGAAACCCACCAAGGCAGTATCTTGAATGCTAGTAAGTAGACAAAAACTGCAGAAATATCATCTTGAGATACTCAAGCACTCAGCAGGGGCTGTGTTTTCGACTGTCATATCCCTAGGCCTTGGCATCTGGTAGGTACTGAAAAACATATTTGTTGAACAAATGATTGAAGTTTCATGAAGGAGTACTTTCTCAGTTCTCAGCACTCCAAAGCAGTTGCTGCTATCTCATGGACCTTGACCTGTAGAATTGCTCCTCTTCCCCTTCACACTGGTGGCTAGGAAGCTCACACAGTATAGCCTGTCTTTAGCTGTGTATGGAACTTTAGAGTATGAGTTTTATGCCAACTGTTGAGTCTGACTTCAGCTTTTCTTATCTGCTTTAATTTTTATGATTTATTTTATTAACTCGAATTGTCTATTTTGCAGACTGCCTCAAATCATTTTTGGAGCAAAGCAGGTAGATGGAAGGATGAAGACAGAAACAGAGAATGAGGTGGTGGAGACAGAGAGGAAGGTGGAGAAGAGAGAGAAGGAAATGGAAAGAGTGGGTGGTGACGTGGGGGGTTATATCTTAAAATGCTCAAGACCCAGAGATACTTTCTTCTTCACCTAGGGAAGAGCCCTTTAGGACCTTTGGCGACCTGCATAGCCTTGGCACCAGGCTCTAGTACAGAGTAGGTGCTCAGCAAAATCTGGACATTTTGAGTGTTTACATGGCTATTATTTGGTTCAGTGAATATTTGCTGATTGGCATTTCTCAGCATGTATTTTTCATTTCACTCAAAATGCTTAGATTTCTTATTTTGTTTGGGAAATCATGTGATATATTAGACACAACTGAGTTTTGGAATAAAACAGATCTTGGTTTGAAAACTAACTCTGCTCTTGATTGGCATGTATCTTTGGCCAAGACAGGCCAGTGTCTGGGCCTGTTTACGTGTCTCTCACATGGAGATGATAATGCTTCCTGCCACATCACCGAGAAGGTTTATAGAAGGATGTATGTAAAGTACCCAACAGTGTCTGGCACACAGGAAGTGCTCATTGACTCTACTCCCCGCCAGTGCTTTGGACGCACTTGTTGGGCTGACTCCTCATGGCCAAGCAGCCCACAGCTGTGGCCTGGCAGAGGTGCTGCCTCAGCCCTGTAAGCCAGCTACTAGTCCGGCTGATCCAGGAGGAGCTGGCTCTTCAGCCACTGCGCAGTGAGCTCATTTTGCTGAACTGTTTGGCTTCTGGATACTCATCCCCTCAGATTAGTAGAAGGACTGTTTGTAGCCTGGCCTTATAAGGTACTGAGGACCTTTGGCCTAGAGAATCATGTATCCAAGTTAAAATCTTTGTCCTGTGGTTTGGTTTATGATCTGAGGACGGTTCAGAGTATGTGGCATTATAGCTGTTGGGTCAGAATGTCAAGATCACCCTTCCTGTATGGGAGCTGGGTTGCCCCAGATGACCGGGAGTATACATACCAGGGTGGGATAGAGTATCCCTGCTGTCTCCTCATTTGGCTGGTTACTCGCTTAGTTGCCACCTTGCAGTCTTCTCGCTAGGACTGGGGCAGCCAGTGTGTGCTCCATGGTGCCGGGATTTTGGACCCCAAGGAACATTGGCTTTTCCAATGGAAAAATGTCGCCCCTGGCCTTTGGGAAATGTTCCTGTTCTTTGAGCCCCTTCATAATTCCTAGTATCCCTGAGCAGGTGTTTTGCGTGCCACCTTTGTTTTTTGTCTTTATTTATTTATGCTTATTAAGTGTATTTATTATTGGTATATTTTTGTCTATTATGGTTCTAGTGATGTCAGGACTATTATTAACCTCCCCTGGTCTGTCCTCACAATTAGGAAAGAAAAATTCTCACATCCTGTAGTGTGCAGGAGAGATCTCTATCACATAAATAAGATTCTAAAATTATCATTCAGTAAGTACTAAGTGAATATCTACTTTGTGCTCTAGCTCCCTTCTAGGTTCACTGAGGTATGTTGAACAACTTGGCTGGACATTGATTGAGCCTAGGAGGTGATTTGGAAACTTCGGTTTTGAAAAATAATATTGTTAACATAAGTTTGTTTTTTGTTTCGGTGTAGAGGACCTGCTGCTTTTCCTTAAAAATAGAGGTGGAGAAATTGAGTTCTTTAAGCCAACCTACCCATTTTTCTTTACTTGAAATAATGAATAATGGTTTCTGCAGACAAATGTGCTTTTTGAGCAATATAGTTCACATTGGCTGTCAGAGCACAGTGGGTAGTGGCAGGGCTGTGCTATCTCTGAGTGACCCAGGATCAGCCCAAGCCTGCCCCTAATAGATCTGTGGCTCATATGCAGCAGTCCCAACGCATTGTTGTCCAACACACAACTTAGAGATTGCCTTACGTGCTATGCATAAAGCTAGTGTTTTTGTCCTTATTGCCATGGAGTTTTATGATTTTGAGATCTGATTTTGCTTGCAGGAGCTGCTAAGTCGTACATCTCTGGAGACTCAGAAGCTTGATCTGATGTCTGAAGTGTCTGAGCTGAAGCTCAAGCTGGTTGGCATGGAGAAGGAGCAGAGGGAGCAGGAGGAGAAGCAGAGAAAAGCAGAGGTGAATGTGATAAACTAAATTCTGGGGGTTGGCAGGTGTGGGGGTGTGGAATACTGTCCTGAGCTCAGACTAGGACATGCTTTCCAAATGTGGAGTTGGGCCATGTGGTCATCCCCCACCCTGGCAGCCACTGTGTGCCAGAAACGTCTATGCAGTAGATATGCAATGATTTGTTAATACCAAGTTATCAGGTTTTGCTGTGGCTGCAACTTTGAGCAATGCCCAAACCACCTAGTTTTGGCTCTTAGGCTTTATCCTCTCTCACACTGCTGACAGGGATGGAAAGGGAAGCTAGTAGTGGAGGAAGAACCAGACAAGATGTGAGGGGACACAAGATGTCTTCTGTGAGTTAGACAAGGTAATGACAGTGTCCTGGGGTGAGGCCAGCTGCCCACCAGGTGCCCACCAGGTCACCATCACTGCATCCAAGGCGTCTGGAGACATTCTTTGACGTGCATTCTTTGACCCAGATGGAACCTTGGATTACGTCTTTCATCCCTCCTGATGGTCTCAAGGGTGAACCTGTGCACAGGCTTTCTTTTGGAGATTGTTTTCTTGGAGGGCTTTTTTTCTCAGGTCCCATATGCATTCCAGACTCCTTTTTTAGATAAATGTTTTGGATAAATTTTAGGCTCAGAGCTCCTTTATTTAAGAGAGAACAGCCCATTTTAACCTTAGATAACCATCTTCCATGTGCCTCTACCTACAAGTTCCTATTTTCCTGTATCTGACAATGGGATGTGGAAAGAAGATAGGCTTTAGGTTTAGAAACACCTTGGTTCAATTACTCACATAAGTGCTTAATAGATCTTTGAATTTCAACACGTAGCTACTTAATCTCTCTGTATTTCCATTTCTTTGTAAAATGGTTAACTGTGGTGAAGTCCAAATTAAGTCAAAGTTAGGTGCCTATCATGGTATCTGGCATTTTGTAGGTACTGGGGTTCCTCACCCACTTCTTCCATTTAGGCATCTCTAAAATCTAAAGACACATATTGTTCCTTTCTATTAAGTGCCAACATTATTGTGCCCTGAAATCTGTCATATTTCTGTGTTTACTGGGTAAAACTGATGACTGAGACACTTCTAATATGTGGGGCACATTCCCTGCATTGATTTTGAGAACATGCTCATTAGTAGAAGTATAGATGCCAAAAGAAGATGATTCCATGAAGCTGAGGACAGGATCTTCTAGTGATTAAGAGTATAAGCTCTTGAATCACATCTCCTGGCTATAATCCAAGCTCAGCTACTCAGTAGCTTTGTGATCTGAGGCAAGTAGTTTAACCTCCCAAACTTCTGTTTCCTCTTCCATAAAGTGGAACTAGTAATTCTCCCTATTGCCTGGGTTCTGAGGAGGGAATGAGATAATGAATACAGAGTTCAGCATATGTGTCCACGTAATATACATACATGTCCAGCATAGCATCATGCTAGACACATAGTAATAGCTAGCTTTTATTGGTTACCTACTAATTGTATTATTAAGCATGTTGGAAATGAAAATGTAGCCCTAGATACATTATTTACATACTGCAGAAAGTCATGCAGACCAAAAGCTTATCTGTGTGAAGTATTAGTTGTATAAACTGCCGTTTCAATGTTCAGAGAAAAGCAACTGAATTTTCTCCAGGTTTAGAGTTGTTTTACCAATGATTCAAGATGTGTGGTTGCACGTGAATATATGTTAAGGTTTTGGGGGCAGAATTTAGTACACTCTGAGAAGGCTTGAAGTGGTAGATACAACTCCAAGTTTACCAAAAAAAAAAGGAGGGAGGGTTATTAAGTCATACTACTTCATACAACTTGAAGAGTCCAAGGCTTAAAAAGTCAAATATCATTAGATACCAATGACCTCACAATGTCATTAGATATCAGCCTTAGTGTATCACTTGGTTTGTTTCAGCCTTATTCTCAAGAAGACTCTCCCTATGTGGTGACAATGGTGGCCATCAGCAGCTCAGGATCCCACCAGCCCAGCAACCCTTGCAGAGAGAGAGATTCCCTTTCTCAAAGGTTCCAGCAAAAACTCCAGGGTCACATCTCATTGGGCTAGTTTAGTCACGTGCTTGGTTCTGGACTAGCCCCCATAGAGAGCAAGTGCCCACATGTGGGTGTGAGTGAGAGTCAGTCCCTCTGTGGAAGAATATAGAGTTAGTATACGGGCTGAGGCAGCCCAGTTCCTTGCTAGGGAAGATGGGATGCAAGGGGAGCTTCGATTTCTGGGCCAAGTATAACTAAGGCCATCATTTTACTTATTTTTTTCTTTTCTGAAGGATTACCCTTCAACCTGAATTTTTTGTTTTTGTTTTCCATTAGGTTATTCATGCATGAGGCAACATAGACTCTGAGCTGCTGGCCTCAGTCCTACCAGATAACAGCCCTACCCAGTTGCTAGTACAAACATTAGGTTTCCACATGGAGGAATTTTTTTAGGTTGTTCAAACCTGTGATAATCAGTGAACAGCCACATGACCTGAAAAAAGTGTCTTATTCTTGTAATTGGGCATAATCTTTGCTGGTATGCCTAGAACCTCCACCACTGTTTGTAACTCTGGAGCACCAAAGGCTTAGTGCCATGGAGGATGCTGCTTAAGCTGTACGATTGTTGCAGGCATGCAGATGTTTATTTAGCTAGCTTAGGCCACCAGGGGTTGTGTGCATGAACAAGGGAAGGCTGCTTCCCGTCCTGCACTACTGCTGTTTTTCCAGTGAATATTCTCAGCCTAAGGCCGGATCACTGGTGGTTTGGAAAAGAAAGGACCTCTCCTTTTGTTTTCATTTTGAGTTTTGAGGTATCCAGATCTGAAATAAACCTCCTCTGTGCAGCTCAGGCTCTATTCTGAAATTCCCTTTTATGTTTCAAAAAGGAAAAGGAAAAAAAGGATGCTGTTAACAAGAGCATCTCAGGCTGCACAGTCTGCTTCTGATCTCACTCTAATCCAGGATCCTGCTGCCTTAGTAAGTTGGGGAAGTGATTATGGATGGGTATCTATAAACCTGAGGACTTTGAGGTACAGGTTTCTTGTCAGATAGAAACAGTCCTGACAGCTAGCCTTGCTCTAGAATCAGTCCGTCACAACCTGAATGAGATGTGGGTGAATACTAGCTCTCCTGTTTATCTCTTCTCATGAGTCTTTTGCAGATTCTGGGTCATTTCCTGGGCTGTATTGATGAGGATTACTCCTGAAAAGCCCAACTGCCAAATGGCAGCCATCATGGAAAGCAAATACCAAAATTAGGAGGATGCAACATGAAAGAAAGAGATCCCAAAGCAAAAGGAAATCTCTGGCTGGCCCTCCATTCAAAGGCATGTCCCCACTGAGACGGGTCTTCCTTGGAAAAAGGAGGCTGGCTTCTTTGAGCACTGGAGATGCGGGGAGGCCTGTGCTGGACCCCTCTGTGGGATCCAGAGGGTCTGTGTGTAGTCTCAGAGCAGCCTGTAAAGAAGGGAGCAGGGCCAGCATGTGCTGGGAAGTGAAGTCAGGCCAGTGGATCAGGGATTTGCACAAGCAGGAAGAGAACCAGGATTTCCTGGCAGAAAACAGAATGTCTTATAGCTCAGAAGGTGTTCTGATCCTTCTTCTGGCAGGCAGCCAGAATGATGGGCTTGGAGCCCAGGGCAAGGTCTGGGATGATCATGTCTGCTCGGGGAAGAGCTGCCTGACTGGGGGAGTGTAATTTATTCTTGTTTTGTTTTGTTTGTTTCATTTATTCATTGTCATTAACAAAGGAAATATACTCCAACAATTCAAAATTCAAGAGCTGAGAAAAGATACATTAACACAAAAAGTCTCCTATGCCTGTCCTCCCAGCAAGCAGTCAGGAGCCAGTGTTACCTGTTTGTTTCATATCCTTCCAGAGTTGTCTTCTGTATGGACAGACAAATTTGTGTGGAGATGCATATATATATATTCTTTGCCTCATCATTGCACGAATGCATACTATTCTAGACCTTTCTTTTTTAATTTAGTGGTCTCGGAGTTTCTTTCATACCAAGTAAGTTAAAAAAATTTCATCATTCATATGTATGCCTGCATGTTATTCCACTGTCAGACTGGGCCCTAATTTATTTAACATTTAAATTGTTTCCAAGTGTTTGCTATTACAGATATGCTGTTGTGAATAATCTTGTACATGTGTGAGGATATTGAAGTGGAATTAATGGATGAAAGGGTGCACACTGTTGAAATTTGCCAGATGTTCCCAAATCACCCTATAGAAGTTACATGCCCACCGGCAGGGTAGAAGAGTGCCAGGACAGTATTAAACCGAGCGTGAAGGAAGAGGCAAGAATGAAGGAAATTTATGAGCAAGCTAAACAGGAAGGATGGGAGACTATGATTATGGGAGGCGCCTAGTGGTTTCACCAAGAACAAGAATCACATAAAAGAACTTCGGTTGGCAATGTAGGTGTAATAAGTGGACTGAGATTATAACAGAGAATGGCAATTAGAACCTCATAGACATCACCTGGACTTCATATGGGACCCAAGAGTGGAGCACAGCTACAAAAGGGTCTGCCCTGTGGGAGAGAAACATACCTGGTAAGAGAAGAGATGGGCCAGGCCTGGAGATGAAGAATTAGAAAAGGAAGTTGAAATGCCAAGACTGCAGGTAGACATACTAGAAAACAGCCTTGACACAGGGACAGAGAGAATTACAGGAGGGCATCCCAGAGGGCTGGAACCTGCCACTTAGTCCCACTGAGCAGTTGGGGAAGGTAGGTCACCCTTCGTGCAGATCCCTGGGCTGATGAGAGCAGACAGGGGGCAGTGATCTGGATAGCTCCTAGAAATCTCCTCCAGCTAAACACTTACATATTTGAAAGGTTGGCTTTTTGGTATCCCCCCTCCCTACCAGACCCAACTTGTTTGTAGTTTCTACCCAGAGGGTAAAGAAAGCAACAGGGAAAACTGCTCCTCCTGCTCTAACGTTGAAGCAAAGGAAGAAGTTAGCTCATGAGGTGAGTGATGGTACCATGAGAGAGCAGTCAGTGTTACTTGAGAGTTCCTGAAATGGAGGGAGGGGAAAACTGGGCACAGACATGCCATGTAGACTTGGGTAAATCATACCTTTTGAAAACTCAGAAATAAAACAGAAGAAAGATGACTCAAGAATATTGAAGCTCTTCAAAATAATACAGTTCTGATTGTGTAATTCTCACCAAGGAAAGGGAAAACCCTAGAGGTACCCTGAAACTCGTTTCCAAAGGAGCTTGTACAAAAAATAGAAAAGATAAATAAGAGCGCACCTCCAGAACAGCATGGGGAAGGGAGAAGCGCCGACAAAAGGGCAACAGTGAGGACAATAGGTAGACTTTCTTTTTCAAGTTCCCATTAAGATCAAAGGAAGAATGGGCTCCATTCCACTGATGCCACTGATAGGCACAAAGAACTTAGGACGGTAGTCCCCAGGTTGCTTGCTCTAAGCGACTTTTAAGGAATCAGGGAAATCAAGTGAGTTGCTAGCAGACTGGAAGCGAACTATTTTCTTCTTTCCTATTTTAGGGAAAAAAATGTTAGGTGGGTTCTATAAAATTGACTCTATTGAGTTTGGGGTCAACCCTATAATGGTCCTTGAGAAGCTAAAAGACAAAGATGAAGTAGGGGTCTGTCTCCATTAAGAGTGAGTTACTTGTGGTTGACCTCACTGGTTTGGCCAGAGACATGTCTTATATGATAGACCTGGAAAATCCACACTTCAGGGAGACATTGCAAAAACTTTGCTTGAGATAATCTTCCATACAAGACAGTGTAGTATAGGATGAATGCAGACATACTGATGCCCGAATGATGACAAATAGCACTAAAGTCTATCTCTAGGAAAATTTTTGTGAAGGACAGGGGTGATCTGCCCTTAGCCCTTCCGCCTGTTTAACATTTTTAGTCCATAATTTGGATGCTAACATACAAGGCCTTGAAGCTGTCATGACATGAGGCCAAAATAAAACATCGGTTAATGTGGGGGTCCACACAAACCTGTACACTAGAGCGATAGGTAGGTTGGCAGAGAGAGAGTAAACAGGAGGCCAGAACAACCTGGAAGGTGCAAAATCCCTAAGGTAATGGATGTGGCACTTCAAGAGGGAGCCAAGCAGGCTGAGGACAGAACACACCTGTGATCTGACCAGAGGGAGGGCTCTGAGAGGAAACCGTGCCCCCCACCTGGTGGAGACAGGGGGATGAAATTCAAGGACAGCAGGTCTGGATTCCTCATTTGAGAGGTTTAACGGTGGAACAAGAGCGTGGAGAGGGTAGTGAGGTTCCTGACATGTCAGAGAAGAGCTGGTCTGCAGGGCCAGTGAACTAGGACAGATGGAAGTTTCTGAAACAGTGGCCAATAGTCAAGCATGCCAGGGGGTGCAGAGCATCTGAGCTTGTGTTGTCAGTGATCAGTGTCACATGGGCCTTAACTGTGTCACATGATGTTTAGGTGTTTTGCTCTTCCAGTGTCTCTTGTTAATCTCTTACAGATCCATAAGGCAAATGGAGAATAAGGGGGGAAAGTGAGCTCTTCAAATGCCTCCTATGTGCCAGGCACCATGCCAGCTGCTTTACCTAAATCTCACTTGATTTAATCCTGCTGACAACCCTATGAGGTAGTGAGACCCTCATTCTACAGATCTGAAAACCAGGCTTGGGGAAGTTTCATAACTTGCCCCTGGTCACATACAACAAAATGACAGACTGGGATGACAACCAGGTCTTCATGAGTTCAAAGCCTGTGTGCTTTCCACAGCATTGTGCCGTCACTCAGCTTAGACCCCCAAACAGGCTGACTCCCTCTTTAGAGACATGAAGGCCAACTGTAACCTTGAAGAACTGCTTTTGACAGCATCCTTGGTTAACCCACCATTCTTCTTTCTGCCCCAGTGCTCTTGGTTAGAGGGTGAGATGTAAAAAAAAACAACTTCTATGCTGAGTTTTCAGCCTCAGCTGCGTCCTCCCCTTTCCTTGGCATCCCTTTATCCACTCTTAACTTTCCTCTTCTCATGCCTCACATTGACTATTCTAAATCTGAACCCCTTGTGCCCCGCTGCCGTGTCCTTTTAGCAGGCAACCTTGCTGCCTCCTCTTCAGAGAAGATCAAGGCCATTGGGGAGAATTTCCCTCAACTTCCAGTTTCTTTTATAGAAACCTACCTGGACCATCAACTCACTTTCCCTCTGTGTTTAGCTAATCCCTCCACCTGGAGCTGCTGATTCTAGCTCCCCTCCTCCCTCTTTAATTCCTCCTCCTCCAGCTTCTCAGTCCTCATAAGTAGCTCTAGGGACCTACCTGTTAAATGATTAAAGCACCGAAATACTTTGAGACTCCTCAGAAGAAAACTCACAAACAAACTGAATGTAGACAGTCTTCCCATTTAGCACCTCCTGTGATGGCCAAGTCCATGGGTAGCAGAGACATCACTAGATTGTGAATCCTGGTGGCTGAGGCCAGCTGGGCAGGGATTGCCTACCCTTGTCAGGCATCTGAGCTAAGCCAGCAAGAGGTTCACAGCCCAGGGACACACAGAGCAAAGGCCAAGTCAGAGCCCAGTTTCTGTCCTGGGACTGCAGATGAGAACTCAGAGGGCCCATGTGGTCGCAGCCCACTGCCGAGAATCCCATTGGGATTCAGGAACAGCAACAGTGGAGCCAGTCAAGGTCTGTGGCCCAGGGCACTTACTCAGGCCCACAGGGGTTACCTTGATTTCTCAACCCAACCCTCTGATCTTGGTGGGGAAATCATTAGATGACCCTGGGGGAAGGCAACCTGAGGCTATCCACAGGCTTAGCATAGGTGAGCCAGGTCTCTGGGGCAGTGGCTGGGAGTCCAGGGGCCTGCTTATGACTGATGACTGCACTGTGGCCTTCCCAGCCCCAAGCTGTCACCAGCCCCTCAGTTTCCCTTCTGCATTGGAGAGGGGCATTTACAAAAGGTAGGGGTAGGAGCTTTTCCTCTTCTAGTCGATGTTGTCACTGTTGGGGATGGAAGACCTCACTCTAGCATGCCTGGGCAGTCCTGTGGTGCCCAGGGGCAGAGCTCTCAGTACTGGGTGCCAGTGCGAAGAATGCCAGTACAGGTGAGCAGGAAGGGGTGAAACAGTGCACTTGTTCACGCCATCCCCACAGGCTCTGTCCTGTCCTGCTGGCCCCGTCTCCTTCAGTCTGGATCCCTGCCCCAAGCTGCTCAGTCTTTCCCAGCTGCTTCCTGCCCTGAGTGACACACCATTGGCCCTGTTACCCAGGCCTGTGACCCCTTTTCTCCCTAACTCCCACACCCAGGCAAGGGGGCTAGAATGTGCTGACTTGACATCACTTAAACTCATCCCATCCATTCCTCTAATCCAGGCTGAATGCACCCCTCCACGCCACCAAAAGCCCTGTAGTTTTCTCCAGGGAAGCACTTAGAGCCTGGTGTGATCACTGTGTGTGTGTCTCTCGCCACTCACCTGTGAGCAGCATTAGTACTGTGGCCCTGGGTCTCTGCAGAGGGGCACTAAAGCCCATGGAGTAAAGGAAAGCCCAGCAGAGCCAGCAGAGCTGCTAGTGACAGGATTCAGAAGGGACTAGCTCTGGATCCCAGGGCTTACAGTTAGTTTTCAAAGCAACCATAAATCTACAGAAGAGTCGTGTTTGGTGCGGGAGATGAAGGAGTCTGGTTTGGAATGGGGTATAAGGGCAAGTTCAAGGCTGGGGACATACTGGCATGCGCGAGTGAGGTGCACGCAATATGCAACCTGTGCGCAGTGTCAGCTTGTTTGGGGCACTTGGCACATGTGGCATGGGCAGGTGTCCATGCACACACCATTCTGTGCTGTTGCTAGACTCTGCCTCGGGTGCTGACATTCAAGGATGGCCCCCAGCATGGCACAGAGCTGCTGCTGGGGGCTTGTTCAAGCTGTGGGGCAGGCTTCAGGAAGAATGCCACGTCTTTTGGTTCCTGTGAAGAAAGTGGGTGGTCATGATAGTGACCGCTGGGTGCCGCGTGCGGCTGACCCTCCGCACGCTTCCTTCCTGCTGTACTGCTCTCAGGGAGCTCCGCGTCTGAGAGCCGACCGACCCTGAGGACTTTCTCTCCTTTCTCTTCCTTCCTGCAGTCAGTTCTGAATGTGATCAGTGAGCTGCAGGAGCAGATGTGTAGGCTGCAGCTGGACATCCACAGGCAGATTCAAGAGCGCCTTGCACGCAGTAGGAGGCACCCTGAGGAGGTGGCGGCCCGCAGTGGTGCAGCCGAGCCCCAGGCCTGCAGCCAGGACTGTGCCTGTTGGGAGGGGTCACCTGTAGGAACCACACTTAAGTATCAGAGCATGCGTGTGTGGGGCATCTCACTGGTGGGAGGGGCTGGGCTTCCTAACCCAGCAGAGTGTGGTGGCTTAGCATGGGTCTCATGTTCCCTCGAGGCAGAGCCTGGGACTCACTCACTCCCCTCGGGACACGAGCTGAGCTTGTGACCCTCACCAACCAGGGTCTGAGCAGGTAAGGCCAACCCGTGGACAGATGGCAGCATGTGTGCCCCTCGGGGCCGTGAACGGTGTGTCGGGTCCCTGAGGGACGGGGCATTTGTGCCAAAGGAAGCCTCAGGATTCCCCTTTCCAGATACGATCCAGATGCTGATCTTCCTCCTGGACTGGAAGAGTAAATGGAGTTTCATTTCACATGTTTTGTTTGTTTGTTGTTTAAGGAAAAAAAGGCATGATGAAAATCCTTTCAAGTTTATTTTTAAAGAGGTTTATCCCCAGTGAGAAAACTAGGGCACAAGTTCCCATTTGCTGTGACAGTGACATCATCCTCTGAGGTTGCATTATTTATTTCCCCCATAATCAATTAGAAGGGTTTCATGACCTCGGGGCGCCGTGGGGTGTGTCTGACTGGGGTTCTGGACTTGGATTCTCGCACTGGTGTGGCAGGGCTGAGGCCTGGTGATGGCAGCTGCACAGAGGTGAGCCTGTGCCTCCGAGGCCCACTGTCGAGGGGGACCTGGAAACCTCAGAGAAGGGTGAGCTCATAGTTGCCATGGGTCGGCCTTGGTCAGGGGTAAGTTCCCAGGTTCCATCCATCTGTACTCAGCTGTGGAACAAGGTGAAGATCTCTGCCCAAACCCAGGCAGGAGGAGAGGACCTCGAGAGAGATTTCCTCCCATGGTAAAGAGTAGGGGGGAAAATGAGAGTCAGCATGCAAGTGTGGATTTGGACAGGGAAGCCCTGAGTGGGGGCTGGGGCATGGCCCTGTGTGGAGTAGTATACCAAGAAGGACTTCGGGAAGAAGTTATATTGGCACTAGTGTTTATGGCTGGTGGTCAGCAACGAACAGTTGAGGAGGAGGAGGATGTGCCAGAGAGGTCACAGAACCCTGCAGGCCATTGTGCTTGTTGTCCCCACAATGGCAGCCCCTCAGGCAGTCACCTGCACACTCTGATCCTGCTGTCCGCAGACCTGGTGCCCTCTCGGGCAGGGCTAGAAACATTCTCAGAAAATGACCCTGGATCAGCTGCAAGTCACAACAGGCCTTAAGGTCTAATGCTGCAGGTCATGGATGCAATAACCTTAGCTTGGAAGACATTTTTTGAAAAGGGCATCAACAGATGCTCACCTCAGCTATAAGAAAATCTTAACTAAATGACACTACAAAATTCAAGTGCAACTTTCTGGTGGAGTGTCTCAGAGAGCAAAGAGCTCCAGGCGAGTTTAATGATGATTTAAATTTCATGCATTCATTAATCAAGAAATATTGCATACCTACTATGCGCCAGAGATTAGCAAGACAGACCTGGAGTTAGCAAAATTCCTCGTGGAGTTGACCGTATAGGAGGAGAACTAGCCATTAGCAGTCATACCAGTAAATGTTAATTGCAAATCATATAAGAAATTTTACAGGTGTCATGAGAAAGTATGGGAGGTCAGAGAGCTTTGCTCAGGGACGCCTGAAGAATGGGTAGGGATTATCCTGGCCGACAGCGTGAGACAGGGAATGGCATGTGTGAAGGCCCAAGAGGAACTGAGAAGTATCCAGTGTGGCTGGAGCATAACTGGGGAGAGAGGCAGGTCAGGCTGTGTTGGTCATGGATAAAGTTTATGAGCTATGAGGAGCAGGGAGTGCCAGGATCAAGTCTGTGTTTTAACTGTATTGTTCCCCTGGATGCTGTGGAGGTCAGTGGACTCAAGGTGACAGAGGAATAACCAGTGAAGAGACTGTCCAGTCTGTGAATACTAACTGCTAGGCCAGAGTAGGGGTGGTAAAGTTGGAGAGAAATGAGAGATTCAAGTTATTTCCTTGGAGGTAGAATTAATAAGGCTTGGGGATGAGTTACTTGTATGGAGGAGGAGAAGGAGATGCCAAGGATGGAGCCCAGGTTTGTGATACAGGCGATGAGGTGGATGGAGATGCCATTTATTGGGACTGTGTTGTCTAAGAGGGGGAGTTAGGCATCCCACTTGGGCCCTGACAGTCATGAGGCCCTGCACGCCATCCACATAGAGATATTAAGTAGGAAGTTTGTTATGTGAGTCTGGACTTCAGAAAGTATGGAAGTAATCACCTTGATGTCAGTTTTCCTGATGAGAACCAGTCAGCAGGACCAATTGTCTGTTAAGGGAACCTTGTTTTGGGACAAAGGTGCTTAATGGTGTCATCTTCACTGAAAGGGTCATTTTAGAAAGCAGTATGTAGAAGTTAAAATGGGCTTCAATTCCAGCTCCACCATGGGCAAGTTGTTTAACTATCACTTCTCCACTCAGTAACCTTCAGTGGCTCCCTTCTGTCCAAAGAATGGTATCAGAGCTTCTTATATTTACCTAAAAGCCTTTACGGTAGGGTCCACTTTATCTTCCCGGCCTTTATCTTCACTCATCTCCCACTGCATGCCACTCGTCATCCTCTGTTGCAGCCCAACAGCCTGTCTCCCTTTACCTGCTCCCTGCACGCCTTTTCCATCCTCCTTCCTTTGGACCCCAAACCAACCCCCTCCTCTGAACTGGACCCCCAGACTGGCCCGACATTTGGTGCTTAGCATTTGTTGCTCCCTGTTTTATTTCTGGCCTGCTGACTGTCACTTCCTCTGTGAAGCCTTTTAGAATCACAGACTCCCCTCTCTGGTTCCTTGACCCCAGCATGGAGAAGGGCTCCCAATTAGTCTGCTTCCTGCTCCATTGCCTGTAAGAAGCTGCTTTGCTTCTGCATCTCTGTTCCTCTCACTCCCAGGCCCTACCTGTCCCATGTGCATGATTTGGGCACACCCTGCAGAGGATGTGGATGTCAGAAATGAGCAGGCAGGATAGGTTCCAAAACTAAGCAGAACTTAAACTCTCTTTCTTATGTCTGAGACTCCCCTAGCCTTTGTTTTTTAAGTGCTGCACAGCCTCTTCTGAAACAGGACTGTGCCTAAAGATTCGAGCTGCAGCTGCAGCATGATGCGGTTGCTCCTGCCCCAGCATCCTCTCTGCATGAGCTTAACCAGGACTGGAGATCCAGCAAACCTCCTGCTCTGTACCCATCACACCTTTGTCTTTCTACCTCATCCTTCCAGGAGTTACTGCAAGAGCTCAGGCACCTCAAAACCAAGGTGGAAGAGCTGGAAAATGAACGGAATCAGTATGAGTGGAAGTTGAAGGCCACTAAGGTAAGAGGAGCCTCCGGTGCTTTATGGGGAGGTCTGTGTCCAAGCTTGGCATTTGCAGTAGCCTAAGCTCGGGAAATGCAAAGTGACCCTACTGTGCCCACGTGCCACAGGGCACAGACTGCACAGGCAGACCGCTTTGATCCAGGAAGGTCGTGGGGAGAGCCCAAGAGGTGATGAGCTGCTGAATTAACTGAGCCTCCTTCCTCTCACTGTGTCTCGTAACACCAGCAGGCTGACACTGGCCAGGACGGGGCTCTGAGAGTGATGAGTCCTAAGGCAGATGGCCACCGACCTTGTCTTGGCTGTGTCATTGCAAATTTAGCAGCCCTTCTAATAATCAGTTTTTTAAAAATAAGCATACTTCATTTTTAGCAATTTAAAAATTACATATACTTGGAATTATTTTTAACCAAATTATGTTTCTTTTGAACTGGGAGCTTGCTATATATTTAAAGGGTACCAAGTCCTTCAAACAGGACTCTCTTCCTGTTTCTTCCCTCCCTCTCTGCTGCTGCTTCAGTTTCCTCTAGTAGCTGAAATGGACTCAGCCCACAATTTTATTGTTTGGGCTAGGACATTGTATTTAAAAATGTCCAAGTAGCTGTCACTTAAGCATTAGGAGATTTCACACCAAGAGTCAGACTGCCCTGGGGGCAGTGGGATGGGAGGGAAGTTCTAAGAACCCGGAAGCAACATTCCTGCTGAGGGAGCCCCGCACATCTGCCTTCCCACTGAGGTCTCTGCAGAGCCACCGAGGGTATTACTGGATGGCTGCTCTGGGCATTCGCATTTTTAATTCTTACTAGAGCTCTAAAAAAGTACTTTTATTAGTGTTTTCTTCATTTCTAGTTTGTACTTTCAGCTTTACTTTTTCTGTAAGTTATCTTGTAATTATAAATACAGTAACACTTATAGAGAATCTTTAAACCATAAAAAATTAAAGGAATAAAAATCACTCATACACCACCCAGGAGCTGCCACTATTAATATTCCCTTCCAGACATTTCTCTTATTTAGGGGTCAGTGTCCTTGTCTCTCTCTCTTTCTCTTCATTTCTGGTGTTGATAGTTGATACACAATTTCAAATCATGCTGTAGAAGTCTAACATGATGCTGATGTCTATATAATATTATTTTGTATAAATAATGAGGAAATTCAGGCACAGAGCAGTAAAGTAACTTTCCCAAGACCTGACACCAACCCCAGGCAACCTGTTTTTCCCTTTGTGGCCCCTGGTTTGCACTGTGCTTCAGAGTCCCAGATTCTGGGAGCGCAGTTTTGCTCAAATGGCTCTGAGCCTTCCACCACAGTGCTCCACTCAAACGAGTCCTATCTTGGTGAAACCTTTGAAGTTGTACATACCACCTCCTATTATAAAACCAAAAGTTCTTTTCTTTTTAAATCACCTAGGCTCTTTGCCTTGGCTTGTAGAACTTTGAGATACTAAGGGTTATTTAATAACTTCCAGTTGTGAAGCACCTCCTACGTGCCAGAATGTGTCAAGCCCTTTGCACACATTTTCTCATTTGATCCATAAAATAACCTCATGAGGTCTATGGTTTTATTATCCTCACTTTTGTAGTAAGTAAACTGAGGCCTCTTTAGAGTGGCCAAAGTGAGGTTCAGATCTGGATCTGTTTCATACCAAAGCTCATGCTCTTTCTCCTGTATCACCAATTCCCTGCATAAAAACCTGCACTGTTTCTGAAAGCTCTTCAGTTTTCCATGTCATTTCTCAGTCCCTAAACTGATTCACCTCCCAGTGCAGCGCAGTAGGGGTGGTCCCCGGGTTTACTGAGGCCCAGAACATGGCAGAGAGCCAGAGCATCCCTTCCTGCCTGGCGCCAGTCTGCGCGTCTCTGCTCACCTCTGCCCCACAGCTCTGGCCTGGATGGCCATGGCAGCAGCATGCTTTGCCTTCACGGTCAGGTAGGGGGCCCCTGGGTTGTTGTAGACTTCCCAGCTGTGGGCACAGGTACCCTTCTAAGCATAACAGACCACCTGCCATTTCAGGCCTAGTCTGTGGAAATTGGCACCTGGGAGGTGGGGCCCAACCACTTGTGTATCAGGTTTTAAGTAAATGACCTCACCCAGAGGCAGGCCTCAGAAAGAATAGAGCTCATGGTGCCAGGTACTGGGCTCTGCCCAACTAGGCCCACGTCACTGATGTCCACTCTGGGGCCTACAGGCAAGTATAAGGCATCTAGATTCCTGACCAAGACCAGATCTCACCTGTCCACAAAGAAAGGAAGAGACAGGTGTGGAAGGTACAAGAAAGGTTAAGAGAATATCTTCCAAGAATAGTCTGGCCCTTTAGAAATGAGAGTCATTGAAGTACAGGTCCCGAGGCTAGGGTTTTCAGAAGCCACTCACGCCATTAATTCTAAGCCCAGGGGCATGGAGGCCCTAAGTGCGGTGTGAAAAGCTGCTGCATGGCTGCAGGTCTCAGCAAGCAGTTTGGCAGCTACACTGGCTCCCTAGCCTCCATGGGTGGAAACCACAGAGCAGAGGGCAGTGCTCTGTAGGGAACTGTGGAATAAGGAAACCCCACCCCTTGCCACCTGTTTTCTTCACATGGTCCCCTCATTTGGGAGACATTAGGGAAGGTTTATTCAGAAGTCCTCGAGGTGGGGTCTCTGAATGGCCCCATGAGAGTGACCCTCATCTGTGCTATTAGCTCAGAAGCAGACGGGCTGGGGTGGGTGGAGCCCTGGCTTTGAAACAGGTGGGATTTACTTGCTGACTGGTCACTGAATGGCTATGCGACGTGGACACTGAATCCTGCACCACTCCTGTTTTCTCCCCAGGGACACGCAGGGGTGTTGCTTCCTCCCATGGTTTCCTGTGAGGGTTGAGTAAGGTTTGATGCCAGGAAGCGGCGAGCACGGGCTGCTGCAGAGTGGGCGCCCAGTCAGTGTGTCCTCAACCGGAGCACAAGGCCCATTTGGCAGAGGAGCTGCCACCAGGGCCAGGGCTTCTCTGGTCACTCAGAGCTGTTCAGAGGTTAACTCAGGCCTCTGTGGTAAAGGACAGTCCATTCCATAACCTTGAGGACTGACGGGGGCCCATGACTGGATCCCCACGAGGGGAGAGGGGTGGCCAGAGTGGGGGCCTTTCCAGTGTACACCATTAACTGGCCCAGGGGTCAGTCCTTGCCCCCTTTCTCACTCTGGGTGGATGCTCAGAGAACTAGCTGGTTATCCATAAGGAAAGGGACAGGATGTGAGGGGCAGCAATAGCAGCATTTATTGAGTACTGACTATTTATTAAGCATTAGGCTGAATTGTTCATAACCATTATCTTATTGAATCCTCACCACAGCCCCATGAAGTAAATGCTATTTTCCCCATTTTATAGATGAGTCACGATGCAGAAAGGTTAACTCACTTGCCCAAGGTCACCCAACTTGGAAATGACGAAAACCCAAGTTTGTTTGCCTCCAAAGCTAAAGTGCCTTTTGGGATGGGAACCGCCCAGTGGAGCTGCCCATGCGTGTACATGTATGAATGTGTGTATGCAGTTGGATCGCTGTGGTTACATACTCTATTTGCAAAAGTGTATCTGCTAAGCACACTTGAATGCTTGTATGTATGTACATGCTGGTGAGCATGCATCTGTGCCTGGAAGTTGGGTGGGGACAGTGACTGTGCTCAAACAGTAGGAGAGTGTTGGAAGGAAGGAACTCTATCTTACTCTTTGTCTACCAGTAGTGATTTGATTTCCACTGTATTTCGTGTGGGGCAGAAAGAGGAAAGATGGATGTACTTGTGACAATGGAACATACATGCTGTTCCATGAATATCTTGGGAGAAGGAAGACCAGGTCCAGTAAGCCTTCCGGGTGCACACAATTCCAGCTCCTCAGGCCTCAGTGGTGATTGAGCCATGGAGGGCAGGGGAGGGAAAGAGCCTGGTCAGGATGGAGCAGGAGAAGGAGCAGATGGGCAACCAGAGCTGTGGCCAGGGTCAGAATGGTCAGGAAGAATGAGTTCATTCAGCAGAGCTCCACCTTGTGGGGAGGGCAGTAAGCACCTCTAACTGCTCACCTTTTCACTGCGTTCTAACTGCTCCTAACTTCCTAAGGTCCTGGGGCCATTGGCCTGGGCTATGGAGGCACTTAACCAGGGTCTGGAAGTTGACCTCTGAGCTGGTAGGGATCCTCTGTTGCTCTTCCAGGCTGAGGTAGCCCAGCTACAAGAGCAGGTGGCCCTGAAGGATGCAGAAATTGAGCGTCTGCACAGCCAGCTCTCCCGGACTGCAGCACTCCACAGTGACCATGCAGAGAAAGGTAACCGGCTTGCCTGTGACAAAGTGAAGTTGCCCCTGGGCCCTTTCTTGTAAGTGGGCATGCATGTCTGAGTATGTGTATGCCTGTGTGAGTAGGCGTGTGAATGTTTTCGGATGTGTGTGAACATGTCTGAGTGTGTGCATGTGGGTGCACGAGCTTTGTTGTGAAATCATTGCCATGAACCCCTCCCCTGTCCAGGAGACTCAGCTCTGAAGGCTTTTCTCAGACGTAGTCTGATCATTGAAGCTCTGTGCAGCCACCTCTGGAGCTTTTACTTTTTCACTTGATTGAAAGGACTTGTTTGGGGACCATCACCAAAGGGGAGGCTTCAGCAGTTCATTCAGTCTTTTCATGGGTGCCTGCCTGATACTCACACAAGGCCCTGTGGTGACGAAAATAAATCAGTTTTTTCTCCTCCTGTAGATCTCAAATGTTACCTCTCAGACAGACATTTCCTGGCCACCCTACTTCAAGTAGGTGTGCCCCCACCTCCCTATTTTTCTCTAACTCAGCATTCTTTTTGTTTCCATCATAGAACTTATAACCTATCAGGGTTGTGTTTTGGAAGATCTCATTTTATAGACTGCCACCCTCTAGGCAAAGACTGTCTCTGTCTTGTTTAAGACCATAGCCACAGCCCATGGTAGGCTTCTAGGAAATATTTACTCAATAAGTGAAAGGATGGTGAATGGTCCCTGATGAGATTAAGTCTTGCTGATTAAAAATGGAGGGCAAATTCCCAAATACTCTTATTAACACATATTTAATATAGCTACTTGCCTTAAATACAAAATGATCACACACCTTCCAGCTTCTCTTACCACCAGACTGTAGAGTGACGCAGAAGAGACTGTATCCCTGTGGATTGGCCCCATTACCAAGTCTCATCTGGGCTTTAGCACTGCTTAGTTTGAGTCCCTGGCTGGGGTGGGAAAGCCGTGTAGCCACGAAACAATGGCTTCAGCTGGAGAAGGACATTTGCAACCAATATGTTCATCCCTCTCCCAGCCTTTCTCAGTGTCTTCCCAAGCCATTGAGGGTGTCACCTGTCTGTCAAGGCCTAATGTGGAGGCTGGGTCCCCCTAAGAGACCGTAGACTATCTGTGATGCTAAATTGGGACAGAGAGCTCCCTGTGCCACAGCTTCCAAGTCAGCAGGCTACCCCTCCACCCTGTGCTTCTCCACAGACCAAGCCTTCTAAGCCCTAACCTGCTCCATCACCAGGTACCTCCTGGAGCTGGTCCTTTGGCCCTCTGCTGCTCAGGTTGGGTCCTGCCCCAAGCAGCAGCATTCACCTGTCTTCATACAGAGCTCACCACCCTCCCTTTACAAACCGGGCTGCACAGCAGATCTCAGCCACCAGGAGCCTAAGCTAATGAGCAAGCACATTGCACTTTCCTCTGAAAATGAATCCCTACAGCTGATTATACAGAGTCCATAAATCCATTCTTCTTATTGCTGGAAATGGGATACTTGCTATATTTTGTTCCCTTGGCTCCTGTACTTTTGTTACATAGGCATCCCTATTCCCTCTGCAGTACTCAGTTTGGAAATGGGTGTAGACTCTTGTTTGGAAAATCCAACTATGTGCCAATTCCTAGACCTCTAAATATTTGGCAGAATGGCCTCCAGCTCCTTTAGGCATTGGGTTTTGACCTGACTCGCCAGACCAGTTTGGGAAGAAATCAAGAGTCCCAATCTGGTCCAAAAGAGAGAAGGCCATGGGCTGTCCACCATGGACTGACACAGATCCTTCAGCCCATAGGGAAATTCTGTAGGTTTATGATGAAATGAGAGGTTGTTTTCCTTAATTGTATTTTGTGTTAATATATTTATGGATGCATCTGAACATTTGTCTGTCAATTATGACTAAACCATTTTAAATCAAGCCAAGTACACAACTCTTATATAATCTTTTCTAGTCTCCATTTGGCTGTAGACGTTTTTCTTCTTCTTCTTTTAAATTTTTCTCTGCTGCAATCCATTGGTCTGTAAGATTTTCTCCAAAACTAGTTAGCAGCCCAGGTATATGCCTACTCAAATAATAAAGGCCAAATGTCCATACTCTTTGAGATGTTAGTTGTGATTTTGGGGTTCCTCTGTGTCACCTTTTAGTAAATGGCATTTTTATTTTTCCCACAAATGTCTTTAAAGAGAAGACAAAATAGTAGGTTCAAGAAATATTTAATGAGACTGACTCTGTGCCAGACACCATCATGAGCTCTTTAAAGAAGTAAAGGAGCCATGTGTAATTTACTTACACAGAAAGTCTTAGCATCTTAGCATGTGGGGAAAGCTATCTGCATTTATATAAGTAATTCCTTCTACACCTATTCTAGATGAAGAAATTCAGCGTCTGAAAATGGGGATGGAAACCTTGCTTGTTGCCAATGAAGATAAGGTGAGACAGTTGTTGGGCAACTCTGTCCTTTCCCTGCTGACACCAATCGCACGTTTGGTCCCTACTGCCCTCTGATCTCTATTCTGGATTCTGGACAGGGCCATGTGCATCAGACCATTGAGCCAGAGATGTGTCAGGAGGATGGTTCTTCCTGCTAGAGACTCAGCCTCAGCCACCTGTTTTTGGCTTTGATGCCTGGGAAATTTGCCTAAATGAAATCTCCCAAAGGCAGATTAAAGCTATCCCTGTTCATGCTGGTATGGAGAAAAAAACTCCACCATGGTTACTATCGATGTTGTAACTACTGCTTAGATTCATAACAAAACATGAGAACAGTCCGCCAACCTCGCATGTGTATGATGGTGACAGACCCAGAATAGAGACACTGGGCAGCATGCAGTGTAATCTTCACATCTAATTCCTGCATAATCATAAAATAGCCCCCTATCTAACTGTAGAGCTCAGGCCCACACAAACATCAGCTCGGAAATGCATCTTACAGATAAGAAACTGAGACTCAAAGTGTGTAAGCAGTTTTGCCCCAGGTCAGGTAACAGTAGAGAGCAGAGCCAGGGTTCACATCCAGGTTTGTCTAACTCCAAAATCCATGTGACCTAAGTCACTAGGCCTTTGCTTGAAAGAAATGATCTGCTCTAGGAATTCTTTCTGTTGTGTGCGAAATCTCAGACTCCTAAGGAATAAGTAAAGATGTTGGGATAAATACGATGGTGTTATTTTAGTCTGTGTGTGTCATACGTAACTCCAGAGGACAGCACTCAAACAAGGAGGCAGATTGCACTGGCTGCCTCGGGAGGGTAGGGAGACAGTGAGCTTCCTTCTGGAAATGGAAAGTCCTGCAAAGCTTATATCCAGCAGGGACTGGGTTATGGATAGAGACTGGATTCAGAGCAATAGAGGCAAGAGTGCTTGTAGCTGCCATCCAGTCAGACCACTGAGAACCCAGGCTCTATGGGATGGGGCCTGGGCACTGTACTTCCCATTGAAGTGTTCCATAGGGTCCACACAGTGTCTCTTCTCACTATGCCCAGAACATAGCCTGGACTCCAAAGTAAAATCACCAGAGGTACCAATGGTGGCATTTACATATGAGTCTGCTCTTGCACTGTGACAGGACCGTCGGATAGAGGAGCTCACAGGGCTGTTAAACCAGTACCGAAGGGTGAAGGAGATCGTGATGGCAACTCAAGGTAAGAGCAAGGGAGAGCCTACCATTTTCTCCCAGAGATATTCCATCTACTGTGTTAAATCAAGGGGCAGTTCTGCCAGAAGGTTCTTCATCTTCATTTGGAGAAGATTCTCTGTGAGAGAATGGAGCTGGTTAGACTGTCCTGGATGGTGGGAAATTCCAGAAACTTTGTCAAATGGCAGACAACTCAAAATTCGAAGGACTAAACACATCACTGAGAAAATGAAGCCTTCAACTTGAGCCCTTGGGAATCCCCACCCTTGGAAGATCTCCTATGCATTTTCCCAGGATACCCCTTAGAGATGAGAAATCAGTTCAGTACCCTCATTGGGGATTAGAGCTTGTCCACCACCTAGAGAATCTAAACGACCCCTCAGCAGCTCCCAGGGCACTTGGGGAGCCTTCTCTGAGTCCTGGGTGCCTGGGTTCCCACAGGAAGCCACAGGCCGGAGATGGATGGCTGTGTTTCATATTTGCTGCCCAGACTGAATGCACCATGCAGGCAGCATTGGTGTTCTTAAGAGTAGAGTGGGGTGTATGCTGGGCTGCCTTGTTCATGCCATTGACCTGGGCCCCCATCACAGATCCCGGGAGAACAGCTGGTTCACAGGAGAGGGCTGCTTTGAGGGTATTCTGGAACCTTTCACTGTGGCTGGGCTTCTGCCTCATCCCCGATGAAGCTGACCCCAGCCTGGACTGCAGGTGGTTGCTGCCCAGGCCTTCTCCTGGCCCTGCACGCACAACATGGCCCTGTTTTCTCTAACGCTTTGCGATCTTGGGTCAAGTCAGGGCCTGCCTGTGGCCAAGGAGTGAGAAGGCTGGGGAAGAATACTAGGGCATGTCTTCTCTGTCCCGCATGTGAGCTGTGACCTTGAGGTGCCCCTATGGCAGCCCTTGCTCAGATGCCCAAAGAATCTTCAGAATCACACCCTGAATGTCCCTTTATATATTTCTTAGTCTTTCTTGGGGAAGGAGAAACAATGCTAGGACTTTGTGGTACAATTACAGGTTTTCTGAGCACATCAAATGGTAGTGATCATCCCTTCACATTGATGCACCCAGGGCCTTCAGACAGAACTCTCTCAATCAATGAGGAAGAACTGGAGGGAAGTTTCAGAAAGTGGAACACTGCAAACAAAGGCCCTGAAGAATTACTTACACCAGAGGTACTGTGTTTATGTCCATGATATGGGGTTTTAGCAGGCCCTGGGAGCTTACGCTGAGCTAGGGAGAAGATCTAGTCAGGTACCTGTCAGGTATAAATCTTGACAGGTGAGAAATTGGTGGAGTCAGAGGCCTCAGGGAGAGTCAGGAGGGCAGAAGCCCAGGCCTGCATTCCAGGTGGGATGGGCAGCATGGTGGATACCGGAAGGATGGGAATGTTCTTTTTTTCATCCAGTTCCTTGTTTCTTTTTGTCTTTTCTCTCCGGAATGTAAGCATAGACCAAAGGTGGTGGTTATTTACCATTGTTTCTCCAGGGTCTGCCAGAATGCCTGATGCCCAGTAGAACTCAACAAATATTTGTGGAATGACAAATGTACCTTGCTCATTTAGAGGGATAACTGCATCTTTGATGTGATCTATTCCTTTTTCAGACATCCCCTCCAGCCCCTGTAACCAACCTACTGATTTTATTTCTCTTCTCTTTTGCTTGTTTAAAACCTGGTCCTATTATAGAAATCTCTTTGGATTTAGGCTAGATAAGAAAAGCAAAGTCATAGATCGAAATCTCAAGTGGAGAAGGGGCTTCAGCCCAGGATCTAAAAGATTCATGAAGCTCCAGAGTGGTCAGACTGAAAAAGATCTTAGCTGTCCAGCTCAACCCTTTTAATTAAGGGAGAAGCAGAAGTGTCACCAAGTGTTAGCAAGACAGAGTAAGCATTCCAGATTGCTGATGATAGTAAAATAGCAAGCACTGATACTCAGTACTTCTGTGTGGTCACTGTGATGAGCACTGTACATGGCTCACCTTGTTTACTCCTCATGACGCTCCATCAGGATCCTTATTTTATTGTGATGAAGCTGAGGCTCAGAGAGGGTAAGTACTTTGCTCTAAGTCACATAACAAATAGATAGCAGATCCTGGAATTAAACCCACAGTTTCTCTGACCAGAAAGTCTAGGTTTTTAACAACTGTATTATAATGCCAGGGTTTGTCCTACATTAGACCAAAAGGGTACTTACTGGGCTCCAGAGAAAAGTGGTGGTCTTTGTAGTTAGTGTAATACTGAAGATATCAAACTCTGTCTTTTAACACCACCATTAAGCTCATGCTCCCTCCATCTGTAATGCTCTTGCCTTTCTTGCCTTCTTACTTGGCACATACTCATTTCTCAAGATTCAGCTCACGTGGTCTCCCTTCTGAAGCTTTCCTAACCTTGCCACCAATGAGAAGGATCCCCTTCCTCCCCTGAATCCCATTATAGGTGTTGGTACTGTAGGACATGTAGATTGATCCCTTATTCCAGTTAACTAGCACAGGGCGTAGCAGGTGGTAGACATTGCTCGTGTTTGTTGAGTGACTATCAATTGCAGTGTTGCCCATTGCGAGCAACAGAAATCGAGTCTGGCTAACCAAAGCCAAAAAGGAATGTTTTTGAAAGGGTATGACTTGTAGGAGGAGCTGAAGTCCAAACTCAGGAAGGGCAGGAGCAGAAAGACCCTCAGGCATTCAGGTCCCAGGCCTCTCTGTGGCTAGGGTGTGGAATTAGGTCCAGGAGGGCAAGGTGAGTTGGCCCAGGTGGTTCCATATGCCTACCTCCATATGGCATCTTGAAAGAGCAGACACCTCTACTGACCTAGCACCATGGCTGTGCCCAGGTGCAGAAATGTAACTCCCCAAGAGGAACAGCACAAAGAAGGGAAAAGGATGGTGGGTAGTCTCCATGTAATAACTGTCCTTTATGTGAGGCTTTTGTTTCTGGTGCAGATGCCTCCAAGATGTGGCTCTCCCATGGCGGGCCCACCTCCACTACCCCAGAAATCACTGGAAACCAGGTAGGAGGCCTGAGCATTTCCCTGGAGTCCTCTCAGGGCTCCTGACATGGCGGGGGCTGGCCATGTGTGGTCAGCACAGTCACCACGTCCTGGGTACACCTGCCTTTCCATGGTCAGAGCAGCACTCCAGGCCCCAGCACGGCCATAATGGGGCCCAAACCACGGAGCACTGAGGAACTACCTCCCCTGGCCACAGAGGGGCTTTGCTTCCCGCAGAATGAGGGTCACGGTCACTTAGAAAAGACCTGGCCAGGGGTTGGAGCTCCAGCAGATAGGTAGCTGCAAGTCTTCAGCACATTCCTCAGCATATCCTGAGTTGCTCTTCGGAGCTGAGAGCATCCTGTGATGTGTGTCTGTCATTTCCATCAGCCCCTCTGGAAAGTCCTTCCTGCTTTCCAGATGAATCTAGCTCTGGAACAATCTAGACTCTGTAAGAGGGCCATTTCTCCTATAGGGAAGTTGCTTTGGGAAAGCTTCCAATGGCAGTGAGCTTATAATGGCCTGTGGGGTTACTTGGCTGCACCAGTCTGCTTCCCTCTAAAATGAATCTACTTCTAGTGCCTTATGTCAGCATTTTAAAAACACATTTCTGAAATAACGGATATATGGAGGCTTCACCACCAAGAAGAGACTGTCTTTCAGCACAGGTGTCTGGGGAAGCCTGATGGAAACTTCCCCAGAGTGGTGCTGAGTCTCCATACCTATAGTGCCTACACCTTCAGAGCCCCACTCCCCAGAGAGCCATTGTCCCCTTGAGCCTTTAGCCCTAGAGAAAAATGGCAGTGTTAGAGAGAGCAAAGAGTTTTACAGAATAAGAAATTTAGTTTATGACTACACTCAGAAGGAAGTCAGCACTAAGTCACATTGACCAGACTCACAAGAGACTGATGTACAAACAGAAGCTGATTTGTTCACATAAACTGAAAAATAAATGTCACTGCCAAGGAGACTTGTCACAAGGTAAACCTTGTGACTACTGGTGGTGTTTGTTGCCTCTTTTCTAGTCAACTGGTGCCCTGCTCTGTAAAATAGCCCCCAAGAAAGCAAATCCCTCTTAGCAGTCTAGTCAGGGCACACAGAGCAGCTCCAGCAGGGCTTTGGGGGTTCCTAGCAGGTTATGCTTTGGAGTTGGAGTTGGCTGATGTGTGAGGGTGGATTTTTTCTGACCTTGACCCTAAGCCCACTTAACAGACTACTGGTTAAACATTTTGAATGTCCTCTATAGCAGTGATACCACATAATTCTTCAGTAAGTTGCTTTGTGCCCTTCCTTTTGTGTTTCTCCAGGGCTCAGAAAAAACTCTCCTGCAGTCTAGAAGACTTGAGAAGTGAATCTGTGGATAAGGTCAGCTCATCAGTCCATCCATAAAGATTACTGAGTTACTTCTTGGTGTCCAGCACAGTGCTGGGATGTATGGGTGAGGTCCTGGTTGCTACCCTGTGGAGGCTTTTATAAAGTTGATGGGGAGGCAGAACTACATGAACATTTTGAGAAAAGCAGTCAGGTGTGGGCCAAGGTGTCTCAGAGGCAGGGTAAGCTAGCAGTGCAGTCTGGGGTTGATGGGAGATGCTGAGGTGGGCACAGGCAAGTTTCGGGGAGTGGAGGGCAGCAGGAGGTGAGTCAGATCAAGTCTGTGAAGATCTTGAACACCAGCCTTATATCCCCAGAGCACTTGGGAGCATCGCTGAGATTTCAAATAGGGAAGTAAAGTGGATAAAAGAGAGGATTCCCAGAGTGAGTTATGGGATGTTTTAGAAGAATTTAGCTAGAGATGTGGAAGGCTTTGTGGCCCCTTATTTGAGCGTAGCCCTTGACCATGTGGTGACCCTGTGCTGGAGGGGTGGGTCACAGGCTCTTGAATGAGGTCTGCCCTGATAAAGCACCTTCATTGAGTCCTGCTGCACACAGCCCCACCAGCAGAGCAGCTCTGGGGACGCAGTGGGAAACCATAAAGCTGGGGCTGGCAGGAGCCACGGGCCCCTCCAGTTCCCAGGTTATGTGCATCTCGCTCCCCCCCATCAAATGCTGGCAGCTCCCCAGGACATCTGTCCATGTGGTTGGACAGTGACCTGTGTTTCCTCCAAAGAGGTGATTCCTTGACATAAAGATGGGGGGAGGTGGGGCATTGCAGGTTGAAGCACGTAGGGGGGCCCAAGTTGTCTGTGACTAACACAGGTCTCTTTCCTCCACATGACTGATCGGAATCCTTGCCATTGCCCAGTGTGTCGATGGGAGCCAGCTCTCCCCATCTCCCTTGAGAGACCCCGAGGTAAAATACCTGTATTGTCCCCATGACGTAATCACGGTTGCATTGTTTGCTAGAGTGTTCTTGTTAAGCAAGTTCGCTTTTGCAACTTTAAAATACGTGAACTCTGAGGAGTAAGAGGGCTAGCGGGAAGGCAGAGCCTCCCCTCCCGGTGTTTGTATAGTGTACCCCGTGACGTGATGCAGCTTCACCTCCATCGTCTGCAGCAGACTGTTTATTATTATCTCCTCCATCCATGGACTCAGAGAAATTCCTCTTCAGCAGGGCAGTGTGGATCTGATCTCAGGGAGGGGGACGTAATGTTATCAGCCCACAGTCCGAGGAGCGTGACAGCTGCCATCCTTGGGCCGATGAGTCATGGTTAAGAACACAGGAGGACACTAGGTGCAGGTGCAAGAATCTTTCCTGCTATTGGTGTCTGGCCCTTCCTGTCTGTGACTGAGAGCTCATTACATTGTAAGACACCCCTGTGTTCTTTTCCAACTCTGTTTATTAGATACATCTTCTGGGCTTCCCTAGAACCTGCATCCACTGATCCTGGCTCTCCTCAGAGCCCATGGAATCGGTCTCCCTGCTCCTGACAGCTCTAGCACTTAGGTCTGATCAGGCCCTCTCTGAGTTAAACATCCTCTTTTCACGTGCACAGATCACAAACCTTTTTAAGGTCCTAGTCAGTCTCTGTTGGATCAGTACTAGTTTCTCAATGTGTCCTCTAATGTATGCCCTGGACCACACTTGAGTGTGATTATTCCAGGGGGGTTCTGACCTGTGCCTGCCTCAGTCAAGGAACTGCTCTCGTAGTTACTGCTGTCACCCCAGGCACCCAGCACATGGTATTTTTTGTGCCTCTGTTTATGTGCTAGGCCTGAGGCAGAAATTGTTCCCTACTTAGGAACAATAAAACAGGTTCTGAGAGGCTAAAGAGAAAGAGCTTTGCCTAGTCTGATGCAAAGCGTGTACTCTTCCTGCCCTAGTGTGCTGCCTCTTTGTTCTAGGTTAGGGCAGCTGGGTAATCAGTGATACACTACTCCTTGGCTGGGATTGCTATTTCTCCGCAACAAGGATTATTCTTGAAGATGCAGAAGCAGGACAGGAGTGGAGCGTGTGTTTCCTCTGTGTCGTGTCCTGACTGCGCCTGCACGGAGGTCACTGTACAACCTTCCCCAGTGGTCAGTCCTGCCTTCTCAGCTTTTCTGCTTGGCTGAACAGAGCTGGGATCCTCTTCCATTGCCCTTGGTTCCTTTTATGTTCTTTCTTAAAGATCTAGGCTGCCTTTTGAAGTCCACGCCTGGGTTAATTACTGCCCTCTTTATAGCTCAGCTCCTCAGCGAGCTCTGAGGGAAGCCCACATCATGGATTGTTCCTGTCTCACCTTAGGGGTGCATGTGTGGTGACATAACCAGAAATCTGTTTTTGGAGCCCTTCCCCACTTCCCAAGATCCTGTATAATGTGGAATTTGGAGTCACGGCCTTCAGTTACCTAGACTTCCTGAGTGCTGCCTTTCCCTTAGTCACTGGTTCCTGGGTCTAACTGCACCAGAGTAATCTTGTTCAATATTATTAAATGCTTGCTAAAAATATAGACTCCTGGGATGCACTCCCAGAGGGGCTGGTTCCTGGGACCAGGCAGAACCTGGGAATTTATAGTTTGTACAATTGTCCCAGGTGATGAAGCAGATGGTGCTTAGACTGGCATTCAGATATTGTTGGTCTTGACCACGTGTCTGACCAAGTCCAATCTCTACCTCATGGGTCACCATGAACTTCAGACTTGTGTGGCCTTCCCCTCTCAAGGCTCTGATGATTTCCACTTCAGCCAGTTCTTTTAAAATTCCTTGAGAATTTAGTCTACATTTCCCATGTCTCTCCTTCTGAGCTTATTTATAGGAGGATTGTATTCAATATTCAGTGAATGAATTGGATTTCAAACAATTTCTAGGACATACATTTAAAAGCAAACTAAGTTCAGGAATTTATTGGACACTTGCTCTTAACTAAATGAAACCTCAGAAGGTGTCTCACAGACTGAAATCTCCCATTACTTTTCTGACTTCTCAAGTTTAAAATCTGTGTTGTCTTTCATATTTTCTTCAGGGTCCACTCAAGTGATCCACGGTAGATCCCCTCGGTCAGGGAACATTGCTTCAGTTTCTCTTTTACTTTCACTCAACTGCATGCCATTGGGTTTACCTTAGGTTTGTGGGTTTAGAGGCCATTATATCCTTTTTGACCAAATAAGCACAATTCTTCTTCCTCGTTAAATCAACTTATTTCTTTGAGACCCTTTATATGACCAGGACCCACTGCCCTGGGGCTGAACCCCATGCTAACTAGAATCCCCCAGTCCCAAAGGGCACTCTGTGTTGGCGTGTATCCCTCTGGCTTGCTCTCCGTTGTCACCTTCCTGAAGGGTATACATATCTTCTTGCTTTGTCTTAACCTGGCAGTTTTCAAAATAACTATTATAATACATAACTATAATTAATATGTGATATAATTATCAAATAGCTTCATTCTGGTTTATACATTCAAAGCACTCAAAGACTAATTCACACTGTTTAATACATTGACCCTCCCAGCATTAAGCCAAATGGCAAAGGCCCCTTTTGCAAGATGCCTCTGCTTCCTGCATAGTCAGTTGAAGTTAGCCTAGATTTGGCCTTGACTCTGTCCCTATCTCACTGTGGCCTTGGGCAAGTTTCTTCTTTTCTCAGAATTCTGGTCCCCTTTCCCAGCCTAGACTAAATGATCTTTGAAGGGTCTTTGAGTCAGCCTAAGTGAAGAGAGAAAACTAGGTTACTCATGCATCCTAGAGTTCCTGACAGGGTTTGAATCTGGGACTAATGGCTGATTCAAAATCTTGATCTCTCTCCGTCTCTGTTTCCATCAGGACAGCCCTTTTCTGGTGGAGCACAAGTACCCCACATTACCTGGGAAGCTTTCAGGAGCCACGCCTAATGGAGAGGCTGCCAAATCTACTCCTGCCTCCCAGCCTGACCCAGCGGGGAGCAGCCTTTTGAGGCTGAGTGAGTGTCCAGGCCCCTCGGCTGGCAGCCCCTGGCGCAGTGGCCTCGGCCCACCCGGGCATTGCCTGGCACCCCTGTGCCCACCCCTGCAGCTCACAGCTGGAGAGCACTGGGAGCGGGTGGATGGGGCACTGGAGCTCCTCGGGGTGGTCCCGCATCCGGGGATGATGGCTGCCTCTCTGGGCATGCTGTTTACTTCTGTAAACCCTTTAGACAACCAGAAAAACAGGGTTTGTGCCACTCTTTCTTTTCACCTGCAGTTTCTCCACCTCCCATTTTCCCTCTTCTATTCCTAACCTTTTGGCCCCTGGCTGTCCTGCCCAACATTCCTTTTTCTTCCCTTTTAGACCCCCCAGCCCTCCCTGCCCTGCACTCTCCCTCTTCTGTCATCTGATCTTCTATCTCCTGTCTTTGCTGTCCTCTCTGCAGCCTCCCCATTACCAGTTAAATAATACTATGCGCTCTAACGAGGGAGAGCATTTCCTTAGGGAAATGGAGTCAGCGGCCAGTGGGCAAGGATGTCAGTCCACGGGTATCCTTTTGGTGTTTAGGATCTGAGCTCAGGGAGGTCTTCGCTGCTTTTCATACCAAATAGGCCATCGTTCCTCAATAGCAGCAGATCAGTGGGGCCCAGGGGGAATGTTCTTGTCTCCTCAGAGCTCTCCCTACCCTGACTCCTCATCCCTGGCTGTTCCCTGAGCCAGCCTGTGCATTGGCGCCTGCCCTTGGCCAGTTCTGCCTTTGGCTGCAGGAACTCCAAATAAGCCCTTGAACAAGTGTGTCCTAGTGACACTTAGACAGTGGACATGCAGTGGCTGTGGACCACGAGTGTGCTCTGAGTGAGCCCTGGCAGCACACAAGAGCTGCGTGTGGCCCCGTGTATTTAGCCCTGGCCACTCTCCCTCCCTCTCGTGGTTTCCTTGGCCTGCCAGGAAGTGGCACCAGGAGCATGTGGTCCCCTCACATGAGGTCCCCTCTCACTGCACTGACCCAGGCACCAAGCTCAGTCACTGTTCACCCCTTCTTCCTCATAGGATGATTTTTCTTTCTTGTTGAGTTTTTCTCTCTTGCTTGATGACTATTGTTTATTTCTTTGCTTCCCTATAACTCTGTTGGGCTGGACTTTGGCCTCTCTTACTTCTTCCTGTGGCTTCTCTGCTTCTTGGTTGGCTGGAGATCGTGGCCGGAGTGTCAGTGCCCCTGTGTTAGGTATGGTACCCTTCCAGGTGAGGTGGAGAGGGACATGCCCTTGTTTCCCTACCCTCATGCCCGCCCCTGACCCAACTCCTAGCCAAGTCACCCTCCTGCCTGCACTCCTGCATCTCCCTTGGGGAAAGGAGAGAAAAGCTCCTCATTGGAGTTATCCCAAGAGTACTTGGACGCAGACCCTTAGAATTTGAAGGCATTAGTTCACCCAGATTTGAGACCTTAAGATCACTAACTCCCCAGAGAGAGAAAGCCTGAGGGTGCCTGAGCACCTGACTCATCCCTAAGATCTTGGTGTAAAGCTCTGCCCTAGAGGTGGGCACACTCTTCCTGACTCCCACCAAAGGATGGCCCAGGCTTGGGGATAAGGTTTTGCAAAGGTCCTGTTCCTTCCTCTGATACACACATCATTTCACTCTTTCAACCTCAGGAGACACAGAGAGTGGTTGGGATGACACTGCCATGGTCAATGAGCTGTCATCCACGTCATCGGGCACGGAGTCGGGCCCCCAGTCTCCCCTGACACCAGATGGTAAACGGAGCCCCAAAGGTATCAAGAAATTCTGGGGAAAGTAAGTTGCCAGCAATGATTATAATTATATTGCTTAGAGTCTGCATAAACCCTTGTTCAATTAGATGTTGGAATAGCAGTAAACAAAAAGCCATCATGTTTAGAGAGATTTTGAATTATTGTTGAGGGCCCAGAGAAGAACTATGAAAGGCACCGATTAAATATAGCTGCTTGGCCTTATATATCATTCATTCATGGCGTCTGTCCATCCCATGGACCCTGAGCACATTCTCTGCAGCTTATACCACATGTAATTTGGGAGAGACACATGATGAAACCAATTTCTTTCTTAGGGGTTAGTCTGTGTCTTAAGAAATCTTCGAAGATAGAAAGCTGAGTCCTTGCTGGAGTAATTGACCCTTTTGTGAAATGAGGCAGAAATGGGCCTCTTATCCACATCAGCCTTCACTTTGATCCCCACAAGGAGTGGCCCAAACCCCAGAGGCAGGATTAGGATTGGGGATCGGTCTGGCCAAGGAGCTGTCCTAGGTCATAATCCTGACCTCTGGGAAGCAGTACCACCATGAGCCCCGGGTCTGGCTGGTGACGCCCTGTGTAGGAGGGGGTGTGCTGACTGTGCCCTGACAGTCTCCATGGATTCCCCTCCACACAGAATCCGAAGAACTCAGTCAGGCAATTTCAACACTGATGCGCCAGGAATGGCAGAGTTTCGGCGAGGAGGGCTCCGAGCAACTGCAGGGCCTAGACTCTCCAGGACCAGAGACCCCAAGGGTCAGAAAAGGTAAGGCACCCTCTAGCCCATCTACAAAAACCTGTGTGAATTCTGGCCAGGCTGCAGTGGGAATGGGGGCTGGATGCCTCCGGAGGTGCTCCCAACCTTTCCCATTTGACACGAGTAACGTTGCTCAGGCGTCAGGGTGCACTGGGGTCAAGGCAAGAGGCTCCCTCCAGCCAGAAGTGGCTTTCCTGAGGGCCTCAGTAGCTTGCACATCTACCATCCATTCTCCCCAGTGCCTCTGCACGCTCATGTCCCAGGTCATAATCCTGGAATGTGTGGCGCTGGAATCAAAGTGGGAACTTCTGCATGACTCCTCGTTCATGCCCAAATGAAAAAGCAGAGACGCTGCACTTTTCCTGAGATTGCCCTGGTGGACAGCCTCTGGTTGTTAGCTCCCCCACCCACCCCCCTTTCAGTCTCCCTGTTCGGGGAAAGAGCATCTCCCTCAGAAGGAGTATCTGCCCAGGCAAACCTTTACCCCTGTGTTTTTGGAAAACACCTTTCACGATCCTCCTATCAGACAATCCCTATAATGCACTGTCTCCAGTGAATATCTCCCAAAGTCCGAGTTATTCAGCCAAGATCAGGTTTCGGGGGCCTTCCTCAGCATTGGATTGTGACATTTTAAACCTAACCAAATAGTGAGATGTGACATTCAGCTCTTTTAAATTTAATCCCCTTGAGACTGCCACACACCAGTGCCATTTGCAAGTAATTACTGAGTAAGATTTACACAACTCAAATTTTATCATTCTCAGAAACGCTAAGGCATCATGTTGTTAGAGGTACACACCCCAGCGCCACTCCCGGCCTTCCCCACCCTGCAACCCTCAGGTTTCTAAGCTTTGCCAGGTGCTCCTTCTATAAGACACAGGGCCTTTCCAGACCAATGTGTGTTTTGTTGGTGTTGCTGGACCTGTCCTCCAGGCGCCCTCCTAGAAACGTGAGGATGTGCGGACCTCCTGTGCTTGCTCCCTCAAGATCAAGGAGCTGGTATTTACTCTTCTTATCACAAATATAAATGCTCAGTGTTCACTTTTGGAGGCGAGAGAATCTAAGGACATGGTCCAGGAAAGCAGAGACCAATTCAGGGCCAATAGAAAGTGACCAAAGACAGCTTATCTATATAGTCCATAGGAGTATTCTAATCTACTTAGCAGTGTCCTAATTTAGACTTGAATGGTTTTGGTTTTTCAAGAGAAGAAAATATCTACAGTAAGCCTGAATGCTAATCTTTGTTCCAATTCTGGCTATTTCTTTCGGATTAATTCTTGAAGGGGAATCCGTGGTCAGGGTCTAAGAATTTTCCTAAGACCCTTAGGCCTTTTTCCTTAGCATAGGCCTGCATGGCTAGGGGCCCATTACATACCGCCAATCATTTGGGTGTGGGTTAACCAAGGTCAGGAACTTCCTGTGTTGCAGCCACAGGGTCATTTTGTTCAAATATCTTTGTGCTTTCTTGACCATAGTAACGACAGCTAAGGCAGTGAGAATGAAGAAGTTCTGGTGAGGCGGTTATGTCGATCCTAACAGTGCTTGTGGGAACAACACTGAGCTTGTTGGAGGCGGGTAGAAGGGCCTTTCTTCCTCTTCAGCAGAAACTTGATCGAGCTCTGTGCTAATGTCCTCCGGTATTTATAGTTTATAGCTCCTTAGGAACAGCATGAAAAGAAGGTCACCAGTACTCCTCTAGGAAAAGTACTTTCTTACGGGAAGTCTCCACTCCCATTCCTTTTCCCAATAAAACAATTAATTTTAAAATATAATATTTGATTTATTTTGTATTTTAGGAACCCTCAGGTTATAGAATGAATTTTGTCTTTTTTCTCCATATAAGGTTTTATTGATTTACATTCCAGTCTGCACTGCTGTGCAGAGCAGACCGCCTGTTACACCCATATGTTGTCAACATTACATATTGACAGTCTTCCTTTGTTTAAATTTCTCTAGTTGTAGAGGCCTTCAAAAAATTACATTTTTAGTGTTAGATTGCATGGTATTTCATTCTTTTTGAATGGGCAGACACAGTTTTCACCCATTTTTATTTAATTGTTAATATCTTACAGATTTCTGTTCACTATATTAAGATACTAAGCTATGTCCAATAATTGTAACAAAATAATTTTTAGGTAGCATAATTTTACTTTATTTTGTGATACTTTGATGTATGAAATTTTTATGTTTACAGTGAGCCTCACCAGCTTTTTTCTTTGTGATTTCTTTCATTATTTTGTTTTTAAGATTTTCAAGGATTTATTTATTTTTTAAAGTTGTATTTGAATCATCTATTCAGGGACTTATTTTGGGATGTGGTAAGATGTACATTTATTTTTCCAAGAAAAAGCAGTGTAGTATAATGTTTAAGTCAGGCTGACTCTACCACCACACAGCTGGATCCCATCTTTGTGGAGGGTTTTTTTGAGTTGATCTCCTGAGTCTGTTGCCCTTTCGGACTGTAGCTTTATGAGGGGTCTTCCATCAGATCATTTTATTGCCTTTCTCCCAAATTGATGAGCCAGTATCAGGTTTGTCATGACTATAAGGAAGCTTAAGCTTCAGCGTCCTTTACTTGCATGGGCATCTTCCAGGGTCCAGAGAGTGTCCAATCAATGTGTTAACGGGGCCATGCATTTTGAAAATTTTTCTCAAGTAAGGCATTTTTAACACAACCAGTTTTAAAACTGCTGACTCTTTACTCCAACCTTCCCTTGGTCTTTCTGTCTTTGCCTTGTATCAGACAATGTTGGAGTAGCCTGGGCATTTTTGGGATCTGGCTAAGGGGAAGTTGAATTGAGGATCCATTTAGTTTGGATTCGTGGGATATGTGTATGTGGCTTGCAGTCACTTCATGTGCAGTTTAGTTAACTAGCTGTCCTGTGTAAAAATGGCTTCCAAGGTGCCAGTCTGCTCAGCATGCTGCTATGGAGATGTGGAAAGTAACTATACCTTTTTAAAAAATTTTTATCTCTTAAACTTTCATCTTTTTAATGTTTCTTTTCCACTACCACCTACTTCTGATACTGAGCATCAGCGGACACATTTATATGGGGACATCTCCATATCTGGCCCTTTAACTCCCTCAATTTAAGGACTCAGCCAGGCACTGAAAAGAATTCTTTAACCAGCATGTTAGGGGTGCTTTCCTGGAAGGAATCTTTTGGAATATCTGGTCTTCTATATTCCTAAAGTCCTTATTTTTAAAATAAACAAGTTGCTTTGTCAACCTCTCCACCACCCCCAAGACTCAACTGGGATTTCAAGTGTGCCATTATATTTACACTTTGAATGAAAAATTTATGTTTTTAAGAATTGACGGCTTTGTAATACCCAGTCATCCTGTCAGGAACATGATCTAGCTCTTCATTTATTCATGCCTATTGATTTTACAGGGTACAGTTGAGTGCTGGAGTTACCACCCCCCCACCTTCCCCCCACCCCCACACAGTTACACAGGAACCTCACATCCCTTGTAAGGCAGCTCCTAAACATTTTGTAATTTTGGTTACTATGAGTGGGATTTTTGAATTATTTTAACAAAAATGTTAGTATCTCTGCATTAATGATATATGAAAAACTGTTGATTTGTATATGTCACAAAGGTATTATATATGTGTGTGTCTTTTATAACTAGCCACTGTACTGAGTTCTCTTGGGTTTTCTAGGTGGGCGGATACATCATCTGAAAACAATGGTGTTCTTTCATTTCTACCTTCCAAATAACTATACCTTTTAAAAAAATTTTTATCTCTATACTGCCTGCAACTCTCAGATAAAGTGTTGTTATTGAATGCCCTCAGCATTTCATTAATAAAGCATTAGCTGTTGTTGATTAGAAGGTTTTTGGGTTTTTTTAGTTAAAGTACTGACTCCCTTTTTCTAGTTTTCTAAGCATTTTCCTGAAAATGGTGTGGAACTCCTGTTAATAATCTGATTCACTTGTGGGTCTTCATCCTGGTGGGCTTGTGGCAAATGCATGTGGACGTGGACCAGCGGTACTGTAAACACAGCCTCACAAGGGTCATGTAACTGCCCCAAGCTCGCAGTAGCCATAGACCTGAAGTTCAGGCCAGAGGTTATCACAGGGAGCTCCAGTCTACCACAGATGTTGAGCACCTTGTAGTGGAATTTTGTTCATCTAAATCCCATGATTGGGTTGTTAAAGCATAGTTCCCTTTTTTGTGAGGCTCTATTATGTTCAGATGGAGCCTCAGACCCTCCCACTAAAGAGCCACGCTGTTTCCCTGCCTCCCAGTGACGCCAATGCCCCTTTTGCCCAGTGGAGCACAGAGCGTGTGTGTGCATGGCTGGAGGACTTTGGCCTGGGTCAGTACGTGATCTTTGCCAGGCAGTGGGTGACTTCTGGCCACACTTTACTGACAGCGACCCCTCAGGACATGGAAAAGGTAAGAGCTGAGCCTTGGGTGAGTGAAGAAGCTCCCATTTCTTCCCAAACCAGTACCTGAGGAGGTGAGTCCCCCTTTGGCCTGCCAAAATTTCACGTCGTCCATCTTTCAATTTCAGGAGCTAGGAATTAAGCACCCTCTTCACAGGAAGAAGCTGGTTTTAGCAGTGAAAGCCATCAACACCAAGCAGGAGGAGAAGTCTGCCCTGCTGGACCACATTTGGGTGACACGTAAGGACAGGCAATATGTGTGTTCTGTTTCTGACAGCTCCTGTGGGCAGACAGCTCCCCTGTGAATATGTGCCTCCAAGACAGCCATCTCCGTGGGAAGGGCAGATGGAGAAAATGGCTGGAACTTCAAAATGCTCATTGTTGCTTCCTTTTTATTGGTGTCTACCTTCTCCAGTTTCCATGAATCCTAGCACACCTGTTTCTTCCTGTGTCTGTAGGCTGGCTTGATGATATAGGCCTCCCGCAATACAAAGACCAGTTTCACGAATCCAGAGTCGATGGGCGGATGCTGCAATACCTAACTGTGGTGAGAACCTTTCCTCAGTCTCTCAGTTGTCCTGTGAGCACGCAGCTCAGGTATCCCCATGATGGTTATTTCAAACTCGATTCCACCTTCTTCCTTATATTATTAAGGTCTTAAAATAGTATCAGCTGCACAGAAGAGGTCCCCGTGGCACAGCATGAGCCATTGTGCTAAGAAAAGCTGTTGGTGTATCCAGGGGCACTTCCCCAAGATGTGATAGGCTTGGCTACGTTTGCTCCAGACGTGACAGGACTCTGGAATCCAGTGTCTCAGTGTAGAAGATCCTGCAAGATTCTATGAGATCTCTATTTCTTAGAAACTGGGAAGGCTCTTAGAAACAGGGAAGGAACCTGAGGGGGCTTTTGTCACCTTGGAAACTGGTTCATCAACCAAAACTCTCCTCTTCCAGAATGATCTACTCTTCTTAAAAGTCACCAGCCAACTACATCATCTCAGCATCAAATGCGCCATTCATGTACTGCACGTCAACAAGTTCAACCCCCACTGTCTGCACCGGCGGCCAGCTGATGAGGTGAGGGCCGGGCAGTACCTGTCCTGGTAGCCCTGACAAGGAAACCTGCAGATGGGCTGTGAGAAAACACGAATGACATCATCACAAAACGGCTGCCTTTCAGACACAGTGCTTGGGATTCCTTCCTTTGCTAGTGTCTCAGAGGCCCCAAACACCCCTGTTGCCAGTACCTTGTGACCCACACAGGCTAGACCTCCAAGCTCCCACCTCCCTTGGAGAGACACAGCTGTGGGTAAGATGGCAGTAATGGCAATGCTTTTTAAGCCATCACATGATTAAAGGAGATGAGCAATGGTGCAAGGGAGGGAAGGGAAGGCAGAATGGAAAGATGGGGTTAAAGAAGGCAGCGAGGAGTCCATAAAGAGCCAGATATTTTAGATATAAAACCAATTCTACTTGTAGACATAGAATTAGTCGATCTCTAGTCCTAGGTGTACAGGAGATGCATCGGCAGGTTTTGCTAGAGAAGAAATAATGTAGGTAAACATAGCAACCCAAGTTCTGGAAAAGTCCCTGGTAATGTCCCCCGTACCTTGGAGTTCTGGGTGGGCCCCAGAGCTGAAGGATTGTCAGTCACCTCCCATCTCCTGTATTCCTGGGAACTAAGTCTAACCTGCTGTAAAATTAATTCCAATTCTGGGGGGATTCAAAATTACTACCTGTACCTTCTGTCTCCTCTTTTCCCCTTATTCAACAAATATGCTTTGACTGCCTTCTATGTCAGGCACAATTGGCTGGGCATTTTGAAGACCAAGATGCCACTTAGGTATAAGTATCTTAATGTGTGTTTGCCTAAAACATTTCACTACACCAGAGAGAGCTTTTGTCTGTAAAACACTTGGCTCATAAATGATAGTTTTCTTTAAAGTTCTGGTTCTATCAAATCACTGAGATGAACGATTCTATGCCTTCATTTACTAGTCCCAAAGTTAACCAGAGAATTAGGGAGTAATAGGACTCTGGAATCCAGTGTCTCAGTGTAGAAGATCCTGTAAGATTCTATGAGAACTCTATTTCTTAGAAACTGGGAAGGCTCTCAGGTAAGCTGGTCTCTAGGCATAAGGGTCATCTTCTGGTAAGGATCTGGGGCAGGCTCATTCACAGGGTTTGGCCCCACAGAAGACCATGGCAGGACCTACCAGACTAACTTGTTCACTCTCCTCCTCCGTCTCACAGAGTAACCTTTCTCCTTCTGAAGTCGTGCAGTGGTCCAACCACAGGGTGATGGAGTGGTTGCGATCCGTGGACCTTGCAGAGTATGCACCCAACCTTCGTGGGAGTGGTGTCCATGGAGGTCTCATTGTGAGTGGTTCTTGAGCCCACCTGCCTTGGTGTACACTGGGGTATTCAGAAACCAGTTCTTAATGGGAAGACATAAATCCTATTACAAATTACTAATATTTCATCTGAAACCCTTACATAAATTGAAGTCTCAAAATATTTTCATAATTGGGAGTTGAGAATTAATATACCTCATGGATGACTTCTGGAAGGTCTTCCCTAGCAACAGATACAGAGGGTTCCAGGACAAGAGGGTTGTATGAGAATCAGCCATCAGCAAGGCAGTTCTTCCTGCACCTAGAGGAACAGATGGCTAGAGATGTGATGGGGAGACCACCAAAATATAACTGGCTGCTTGTCATGATATTCAGGTGCTCAGATTTGTCAGGTGCAGCCCAGTGGGGACATGAGGAACTGATGCCTTGGGTGTCACGCAGAGTGGACCCCGGGAGGCAGCCTTAGCCAAGAGGTCGCAGTTCCCGGCGGGTCTGTGAAAGAGTCAGCAGATGTACTAGTGTCTGCTCAGAGCCAGGCCATGTGCCAGGTAGTGGGGGAGCAGGACACCCAGCAAGTGTATGATGCCAGGCCCTCCTGTAGAGGCACTGCTGTGCCCGTGGGGGCCCACTTTTCAGTGTTACCACCAAGAACCATCTGTGGTCATCACCAGGTGGCTCTGTGTTTCTTTCTTAGATCCTGGAGCCACGCTTCACTGGGGACACCCTGGCTATGCTTCTCAATATCCCACCACAAAAGACACTCCTCAGACGCCACCTAACCACTAAATTCAATGCCCTGATTGGTCCTGAGGCTGAACAGGAAAAGCGAGAGAAAATGGCTTCACCAGCTTACACACCACTGACCACCACCGCCAAAGTCCGGGTGAGTTGCCAGACCCTTTCTGGGGCAGTCCCAAGACCTGCCTCTGGCCCTCGTTTTGTACAGCAGCTGGCCCAACACCTAGTGTCAAACCTGTGTGCCACCTGGAGGAAGTGGCATTCTTTGCATCCGCCTTGGGAGTTGGGTCTACTGTGTGTTGGTGTTGGTGGGCCAGTTCCCCACCACTCAGTCCAAGGAAGAGAGGGCAGACTTCTTCACATGGACAACTATGTCCAGATAGCAGCTGTTCTCAGGTGGCTAGGAGCTTGTCCACTACCCAGCACTGCCTTGACTCATTCCCCTTGCAAAGCAGACAAGTTCATGAAGGCATCAGTGAGCTTTAGGTTACCTTCAGCTGGGCCTGTCTGGGTGGCACAGTGCCATGGGAGTCTTAGTCAGAGCTGTCCTGCCAATGCAGGGAGTGTTCCTGTTGGCAGCAGGCCTCAGAGGCCTTGTGCTGTGGACATGGCCAGCACACAGCTATTCAGAGGTCACGCGAGCACCAGCACCACCCACTCGAGCTGTCTGAATCCCACCAAGCCCACTAGACCTGCCTGAGCCACACTGTCCCCAGATAGTGTCCTTCTCAGCTGGCAGGCCCTCTGATAGAAGCTCTGGAGGCCAGGCTGGCCTGTCCCCGGCAGCACAGGAATGCCTGAGTCCACTGACCTTCTCCCCCAAGGAGCAGAACAGGGAGTGTGATTAGGAAGCAGTGCTGGGTGAAACTAGACCAGGAGGAAGGGCCACCTGGGGTTCCTGTGGGGCCTCCCCAAGGCATGAGGGGCTGCTAGCAGAACAGAGTGCCCCTGCCTGGTGCCAGCAGCCGTGGTCAGGCAGGCCCTCTCCAGTGGCATCCTGCAGGAATTCCCAGTGCCCCAGGAAGTGGGACTGTCCCAAGTGGGACAGCAGGCTCTGAGTTCTAGGCACAGAGTCTTGGAGGAGCAGCAGGCTCTCCTTAGATTAGTTATCCTGTTGACCTTTCCCGGTGTAGACATTGCTTAACAGGAGCTCTATTTTGAGTTTTTCAGGAAATAGTTTGCCTTTGTCCTTTCCCCCAGGGCTTGCTCCTAAATGTGTTGTCAGTCATACCTGTACACCAGGTTGATGACCTTCTCATTATAGTCTTACATTTGCTATGTTTTAGCCAAAGAAACTAGGATTTTCACATTTTGGAAACATAAGAAAAAAGAAGTTTGATGAATCGACGGACTATATTTGCCCAATGGAGTCCAGTGACCGTGTTGGTGAGAGTTACAGGGTGTACAGTGGCTACCGAGGCCTCAGCCCCCTTGATGCTCCTGAGCTGGATGGGCTAGACCAGGTAGGACAGATTAGTTAATGCCCTTGTCTCCTGTCCTCTGTGCACCCTGAGAGCTCACAATAACACCACGTGTGCCATTGTATAACTGCACCTCAACCCCTACTTATGTGCATGCCTTGCAGAGAACATTCTAGCAATTGTGTACCCCTGGACCAGCCTCTCATCAAACCCTGAGGGTGGCCAGGCTATGGAATTGCACCTTTGTAAAGGGGCCAGGCTTTGGGGACCGTTGCCAAAGGTGGACTCAAGAGGAAAGACATTTAAGGATTCTTATACATTTTTAGTAACTCTTAATGTTATCTTCAGCACCAGTGGCAACACACGAACTTGGACAGAGGTCCAGAATCCATGGATGATCCCAAGAGGCTCAGAGCTCTGTGCACTGTGCTTCAGTTGAGGGACAATCCTAAGTGCCTTGGGTCTGTGGCCAGTTTTGGCTGAGATCCAAGGGACAACAGCAGGGATTTCTGCCACAGTGAGAGTGTAGCACTGTGTGTATGCCTTATGCAGCAGCAGTCACTTCTTATAATAAAAACAGTATTTATGTAGAAAGCAAAGAGCACGCCCATCTTCAGTCTTTTTGGGGGACAGCTGGATGCAGCTGGAGATAGTCGTGCTTACCGTGCCGCTGGAGAGCTGATGGCACTGCGCTCGCTCCTCGGCTGGATGCACACTCAGCTGGCCAAATGTTGGACGAGGGGGATGGAGCAAGCAGGGACCCCCGTGTCCTTCAGAAGAGGTCTGTGACCTCACCCCTTCAGGCTCCACCTCTCCATGTGCAGCCAGCCGAGGGGAACCTCCTGCCTGATGTGCGTCCTGACTGGAAGTCACATCTATTGTGCACACCCCAAAGCTGGTGTCTGTTTCAGCTGCGGCCAGAAAGACCCTCTGATCTTCCCCGTGTTTTGTCAGCCCATTGCTGACGTGGCTGGGCCCATAATCGTCATGGCAGTTGGTCTGTCTGTGTGGCAGAGCTGGAACAGACCTGTCCTCCTGATTTAGAGGCTGACCAACTGATAATGGGTCTTCCAGATGGGCCTTGTGTGGCCCAGGACTGAGGGAAAGACATGCCTTGCCAGTCTGCGCTCTTGCTTAGGAGATTCCAGTTTGTTCCAAGGCAAGTTTTGGCTCCACCGGTCCCCCAGGCCTCATCTGCAGAACAGTAGCAGCACGGTAACTGTCTGGGCTGGAGCAGGGCCTGAGGACCCCTTTGAGAGCACTCGATTCTGTCCCAGATGGAGGCAATGCTAAGATATGCTGCTGAAATTACCAGCAGCCTCAGGCGAGGCCCTCCTGGCCTTCCCTGAAGTCCAGCCAGAGAGAAGGATCAGCTCAGCAGCTGGCACGACTGATGCTGTGCCCAGCACCCAGGACCACTGAGCGACAGGCACCTCTGGGGGCGGCCACCTGCGCACTGCAGCCACAGGGCCATAGGCCAAGCTTTGTCTCTCATTCCTTGTGGTGTCCTGGTTAGAGAATCTCTGCATGTGCCTGCTTTCAAACCCCATGTGGAACCATCACTAAATCTCTGTGTAGCCTTAAGCAAAGCCTGTATCTCTTTTTGGGCCTCAACTTTCCCACTTATAAAATGAGAGGTTTTACTTGATGCCCTGAGAAGATGCTTCCAAATCCAATCGACAATGTCTAAATAGGCTTAGGGAAGAGGGAGCAGGCCAGCACCACCTAAGGAGGAGAGCAAAGGAGGGAGGAAGCTCTGTCAGCAGAATTATACCTATGGGGGCGTCAGGGTCTGCGGTCCTGTTTGCGCCAGAAACTGTCAGTGTATTTAACATCCTGAAGGCCTTCATCCCTGCTGCTCTCTGCTCCTGGAAATGGCTGGAGCTCGAACACGTGCTATAGGGCTGCTGCTGACCGGCCCTGGCTATGCCAAACTCCTGTGTACCTCGAGTGCTGGTTGCCAGGGTGGGCTCCAGGGGAGCATGTGCATGGCAGTGTGGGACACTGGGAGCTCTGCCCTTCCCCTGGGACCGAAGCAGCATGTGCTCGCCTGTCCCTCCTCAGGGCCTGGCCCACTCCCCCAGGGCAGCATGCCGTCTGTGAGTCACACGCCGGGTCCCTGTGTGCTGACCCAGATGCTGCCCATTTTGCAGATGGCGCCTTCGGAAGGCACTGTGACGCAGATAGGGCTCCTCTCCCAAGACATTCACCGCCTGACGGTAGGATTCTGACACTCTCTCGACAGTAGGACAGGTACCAGGGAGGCTCCATGAGCTTGGTAGTGGTACACAAGGCCTGGAGCAGCCTCCATACTTCCGGACCTGTGTTGTCCTATTGTCCATGCCTGTGCTCTGGGAGAGCAAAGGATGGCCCTGGGCACTGGGGCAAGAGCCTAAGCCAGCTCTGAGGCAGAAAGCAGCCCAAAGGCCATTTCCGTTAGCTTGCTGCTGGGCCCTGATCTGCTGAGGGCACTGGGAAGGGTCACAGAGGGGCCTTGAGCTGCCGCTAGCTAACACGCTAGGTCTTAGGTCCTCTGTCCAGATTCAGAGTTGGTGGGAAAACCAAGGTGTTCTGTAGCACTGGGTTACCTGCCAGTCAGCCCAATGCCCATGAGACAGACTTCCTATCATGCCTCTGACTTCATGGATATCACAGGCATGGGGGCACATCCTGGCATGCCCAGTGACAACACGATGGAGGAAGCATGGTCTCAGAGGAGAGAAGCCACTCTGGAGTGAGGTCCATAGGGTTCAAGCCTCTTCCTAGCTCTGGGACCTGGGGCAAGTCATTCTCTAAGCCCTGGCTCAGTAATCCATAAAGCAAGGCTAATACTGTCTTCCTTACAAGGGGTGCAAGCAGACCAGAGCTGGTGGCAAAAGGCCAACCACAAGAGGAGGTTTATATTTTTGAGGGCCTGTTAGTACCTGGGTGGACTGTCCCATCACTGGGTCCACTGGCTATAGCATCTTTCCATACTGAACCTGCTATCTCAGTCCTTTGCTTGTTGATCTATCAAGGCATGTTAAGAAAGCTACATTCAAGGGCAAAATAGAATCTCCCTGAATCCAAATGGGATTGTTTTTATTCAACATTTTTTTCTTGGCTCACACAGCAAAATGAATTCACCCTACCTTGCCTTTATCACATCGAATAGACCTTTGGTGGCCTTGAAATAGCAACTTTACCTCTAAGGTCTAAGCAATGTATTATCTTGATCCTGTTGCCTATTCTTCCCCAGTATATGGGGTCCCTGGAACACCATGAACTTAGAGGGTGCCAATGTCAAACCGATCACACGCAGAGCCCTCTGGGTGCCCAGGCAGCTGCCACAGGGCAGCCTTGACAAAAGGCTTGTTCACCTACCCCTTTGGCTGTGTCCTTTCAGACCATGTTGAGCCAGGACCAGCTGCTGAATGACTCTTGCCTGGCTGCTCCCAACTCTGAGGACTGGAGATGACTTTCTTCATGGCTGGGAGCCCAGAGAGGCACGTGCGGGGGTCCCAAGCCTCTGCTTCAGTGGGAGCTGGCACCCAGCCACCTGCAGAGTGCAGATGGGGGCTGGCAGGAGGGAAGCGGAGCTGTGGAGTAGCTGTTCCGCAGGCAGCCCCAGGAGCCCTATGTTGTCAACCGTGCTGTGCTCTTCACAGCTTTTATACCTTTTCCACTGTATACGTGGACTGCATACCAGCTCTGTGGGGAGGGCAGTGAGATGTCAGCACAGACTCAATGGCTGGTGCTCTTCCTTGTGGCAGTCGGGAGGTTCTTATGCCAAAGCAGAAGGGCTATGAGTTCATAAAAGCTCTGCTGGAAATTAGTTCTAAACATTGTATAGTGACTGAGCTGGGTGAAATGAGAGGGAGCCCCTCCTTGACCGAATCCATGCAGAAGCACATATTTATCTCCAGGGTGACAGCAGGTTAGGAACAGTGACTCCCTTCCCACTGCCTGGCTGCCGTCACCCTACCCTCATCTGTAGGGATGTGGCAGACTTGGTACCGCTGGGCTCCCAGTGTCAGAGCAGCGGCACCTCCAGCACCCCCTCAGGGCCGTGGCCCTCAGAATAGCTGACAGGCAGGCAGAAGCCTTTCCCTCATCAGCCTCAGACACAACTGTCTCATCACATGCTCCCCCGAGTGGATGGCCCATGGGCACCCTAAGCCAGCGTGTCCACTGCAACTCAGCATCTTCTAGACCAGCCTGTTCCCTCTCAGGCGTTCCTGCCTCAGGGTGCGTTGCCACATTCAGTCCTCTCCCAGCCAGTCTCCTGCTGGCGGTTGCCTGTCCTCTTCATCCCTGTGACACTACTTCAGGCCTCACCTCTCATCTGATTTGCACAGCTAGTCTCCTATGTGGCCCCTCACCTTTCCAGTTGGCTCCTCCAGACATTCTCTACCCTATTCCTTAGAGTGACTTTGTCAAATTGGTTTTTATCCTGTTACCTTTCTGCTAAGAACTTTAGTTCCAGAATCACCACAATGCAGTTCCAGAACCCAGAGTCAAAGATCCCTGCACCCAGGCCCTTCTGAATCTTCAGCCACACAAACTGCGCTGTAGCCTGTGCTCCTTCTCACACGGTAGGATGTACTGTCCCCTAACCCCATCACTGCTCAGTAACACCCCTCCTCTAGTTGTGACAACCAAAAATGTCTCCAGATGTTGCTGGGGGCAAAACTGTCCCTAGTTGAGAACCACTGGGCCAGGGAATGGGGTGAAAGTGAGGCCAAGGTAAGGAAAAGTGAGTCAGCTGGAGCCAGATGAAGGAAGGCCTAGAAGCCAGGCCCCTGTAATTTATGGGGGAGACACAGGCAAGGACTAGTGAAAGCAGTGAGAGGCTCACAGCAGAAGACAGGCAGGGTAAGATTCGTGTTTAAGAAAACGGGAGGAGGTGGGGAAGATGGCAGTGTAGAAAGAACCTGACCCCACCTCCTCCCACCTACACACTGACGCTATACCTACACATAGAGCAGGTCAGCCCGTGAAAGAACTGAGGCCTGAGCGAGCACCTGCTGTGCAATGAGGGACAGAAAGATCTTATATAAAAGAACAGGAGAGGTGGAGACAGGGTAACAGCAGGAACCCCAGCCCAGTGATGTGCAGTGGGGAGGGAGAATGCTATGGGACCGGGTGGATTTCCTGCCCAGGGAAACAGATTAACAGCTGCACTTTAAGGTTCATCTGGATTATGAGTGAAAAAATCCAATTTTCAAAGGTAAAAAGCACCCGTGTTTGGTGGGGGAACTGTTGGAACTCTCTCTGGGATCAGAGGTGCTGGTGAGTGCCAAATTTGCATTCCTTCCACATATTCATAGTGCAACTGGGAGCAGGGTCCTGCATGCACAGCAGTTGGACCCCTGATCTAGGCAGCCTCCCAGTCTCTGCATACCCCCATTCCTGCAGGAGATCCAGCAGTCCCGTAGGGCAGCACTAGCAGTGGTGCTTGCCCAAGCTCACACTGCCTGTGCCCACCTGTCACCCAGCGCCCACTGGAAGATCCCCAGAGACTGCACCAGCCCCTCCTGGCACCAACTAGGGAGTTCCCCAGATGCATCCCTAGGCTGCTGTTCGCCCACCACCCAGGAGCCCTTCAGACCTCAATCCCCTGAGACACATGTCTCCTGTTCATCTGGCCCCAAGCCAACACCACCAGGCACACAGTCTACACAGGGGACCTCCCTGCACAACGGCAACCCTTCAAGACTGGGAGAGGGGGCCCTTTAAACTAATTCACAGAATTAAGCACAGAAAGTCAAAATGGAACAGAGGAATATGTTCTAAATGACAAAACAAGGCAAAATTTCAGAAAAAAACTAAATGATGGAGAGCTAACCAACCGACCTGAAAAAGTATTCAAAGCAGTGGTTACAAAGATGCTCACCAGACTTTAGAGAAGAATGGATGAGTTCAGGGAGGACTACAACAAAGAGAGAAAACAGAAAATAACCAGAGGTGAAGAATAATAAATGAAATGAAAAATATACCAGAGAGAATCCACAACAGATTAGAAGATGCAGAGGTATGATCAGTGACTTGGAAGACAGCATAATAGACAAGCAATCAAGAGGAACAGGAGAAGGAAAAAATAAAATTGAGGATAGGTTGAGGGAGCTCTGAGACAACATCAATGTCTTAATGTTCACATTATTAGAGTCCCAGGCAGAAGAAAGGGGGTAGGAAACTTGAGAAAATAATAGCTGAAAATTTTCCTAACCCAGGAAAAGAAACAGACATCCACGTCCAAAAAGGACAGAGAGCCCCAAACAAGATGATCCCAAGGAGGTACACAATACAATGATTAAATTGTCAAAGATTAAAGATAGGAGGAGGCAGGTCCAGGATGGCAGCATATAAAGAACCTGAACCTACCTCCCACATACACATAGAAGCTACACCTAAACACAGAGAATTCATCCTGAGAAAACACAGGCCTGAGTAAACACCTTCTACACAAGGGATAAAAAGACCACATAAAAATGTCAGGAGAGATGGAGGCATGGTAACAGAGGAAACCCTACTCCCAATGCAGCCTTGACATAGATGAATCACTTAAAACCTACTATTTCTAAAAATAAGGTAAGGGAATCACTAAAAGGTGTTAAAGACAACATCATACATAAAACACAGAGGAAGGGGAGTAAAAGTAGTGCTGTTAGAATGTCTTCAAACTTAAGCAACCATCAACTTACCATAGATTGCTATAGATGTAGGATGTCATATGAACCACATGGTAACCACAGACCAAAAACCTGTAATAGATACATAAAAAATAAAGAGAAGAGAATCCAGCCATAACACTAAAGAAAGTCAGCATGCATAAGGAAAGGGAGCAAGAAAGGAAGAAAGGATCAGTGAATGAAAAAAAAATCAGGAAACATTTAACAAAATGACAGTAAGTACATACCTATCAATAATTACTTCAAATGTAAATGGACTAAATATTCCAATCAAAAGACAAAGGGTGACTGGATAAAAAATATAAGACCCATCTATATGCTGCCTCCAAGAGACTCACTTCAGACCTAAAGACACAGACTGAAAACTGAAAGGACAGAGAAAGATATTCCATGCAAAAAAAATTTTTTTAAAGGCTGGAGTAGCAGTACTTAGACAAAATAGACTTGAAAACAAAGACTGTACCACGACACAAGGACTTTTTATAATGACTGGAGGCTGAATCCAGAAAGAAGATGTAAGAATTGTAAATAACTACACACCCAACAAAGGAGCACCTAAACACATAGAGCAAATATTAACAGACATAAAGGAAGAATTTGACACTACTACTAAAATAGTAGAGGATTCCAACACCCGACTTACATCAATGGATAGATCATCCAGAGAAAAAAAAAAAATCAATAAGAAAACAGTGGCTCTGAACTACACATTAGACCAAATGAATGTAATAGATATATACAGAACGTAACATCCAAAAACAGCAGAGCACTCATTCTTCTCAGGTGCACATGGAACACTCTCCATGGCAGATCACATCTTAGGCCACAAAACAAGTCTTCATAAATTAAAGATGACCGAAGTCATACCAAGCATATTTTCTAATCTGGAAAAAAACACACATGTGGAGGCTAAACAGCATTCTACTGAATAATTAACTGGTCAGTAGAGAAACTAAAGAGGAAACTAGACAGTACTTGGAGAATAATGAAAATAGAAACACAACAATTCAAATCTTTTGGATGCAGCAAAAGCCATCCTAAGATGGAATTTTACAGTGTCATAGGCCTACCTCAAGAATGAGAGCAAAAAAAAAAATGAAACTAAAAGCTGATTCTTTCAAAAGATAAACAAAACTGATAAACCTTTAGCTGGAGTCATCAAGAAAATAAAGGACTCAAAATCAGAAATGAAGATGAGTTAGAACTGACACCACAGAAACATGAATTATAAGAGATTACTATGAAAAATTATATGCCAACAAATTGAACCTAAAAGAAATGGATAAATTTCTAGAAACATGCAATCTCCTAACATTGAACTAGGAAGAGATAGAAAATCTGAATAGACCAATTGATGGTAACAAAATTGAAGCAATAATAAAAAAAAAATCCCAACAAACAGAAGTTTGGGACCAGATGGCTTCACAGGAGAATTCCACCAAATACTTAAAGAAGAGTTAATACCTATCCTTCTCAAACTATTCCAAAAAAGAAAAGGAAGGAAAGCTTCCAAATTCATTCTACAAGGTTGTGATACCAAACCAGACACTATAAAAAAAAATTACAGACCAATATCCCTGATGAACATAGATGCAAAGATCCTCAACAAAATATTAGCAAACCAAATTAAAAAATACAGTAAAAGGATCATTCACCAGGACCAAGTGGGATTTATTCCAGAGATGCAGGATGGTTCAAATAACCAGTGTGATACATGATATACCGTATTAGCAAAAGGAAGAATAAAAATCACATGGTCAACTCAATAGATGTTGAAAAAGATTTGATAAAATTTAGCATCCATTCAAGATAAAAACTCCCAACTAAGTAGGTATAGAGGGAACATATCTAAACTTAATAAAGGCTATATATAACAAATCCACAGTTCACATCATACTCAATGGTGAAAAACTGAAAGCTTTTCCTCTGAGATCAGGGACAAGACAAGGATGCCCACTCTTGTCACCTTCCTGCGACACAGTACTGGATGTCCCGGCTATAGCAATCAGACAAGAAAAAGAAAAAGAAAAAGAAATAGAAGAAGTAAAAACTGTCACTATTTTCAGATGACATGATACCATATATAACCCTAAAGACTCTACCGAAAAACTATTAGAATTAATGAATGAATTCAGTAAAATAACAGGATATAAAATCAGTATAAAGAAATTTGTTGTTTTTATATACAAATTATGAATTGAGACATTAAGAAATCAATCCCATTTGCAATTGCATCAAAAAGAATAAAATACCTAGAAATAAATTTAACCATGGAGGTAAGACCTATACTCTGAAAACTTTAACACACTGATAGAAAAAACTAAAGACACAAATAAATGGAAAGCTATTCCATACTTATGGGTAGGAATAATTAATGTTGTTAAAATGGCTATACTGCCCAAAACAATCTATAGATCCAGTGTAATCCCCATAAAAATACCAATGGCATTTTTCACAGAACTAAAGCAAGTAATCATAAAATATGTATGGAACCACAAAAAAAATCCCAAATAGCCAAAATAATCTTGAGAAAAAAGAACAAAGCTGGGAATAGCACACTCCCTTGATTCAAACTATACTACAAAGCTACATGAATCAAAACAGTGTGGTAATGGTACAAGAAGAGAAAGACAATGGAACAAAGAAGAGCACCCAGAAATTATCCCATACTTATACAGTTAATTAATCTATGACAAAGGAGGCAGGAAAACACAATTTCTTCAATAAATGGTGTTGGGAAAACTGGACAGCTACATGCAATAAAATAAAACTGGATCACTGTCTTACACCATACACAAAAATAAACTCAAAAAGGATTAAAAATCTAAATGAGACATGAAACCATAAAACTCTTAAAACATATGCAGTATAACTCTTGAACATGAGCACTAGTAATATTTTTTTGGATATGTCTCCACATGCAAAAGAAACAAAAGTGACAATAAACAAGTGGGACCACATCAAACTAAAAAGCTCCCACATAGCAAAGGAAACCACCAAAAATAAAAAAGCCAGCATACTGTATGGGAGAATATATATGCAGATGATCTATCCAGTAAAGGGCTAGTATCCAAAATATATAAATAACTTACATAACACCAAAAAAAAATCCAAGTGAATAATGGGCAGGGGATCTGAATAGACATTTTTCCAAAGAAGACATACAAATGACCAACAGACACATGAAAAGATCCTCGATATCACTAATCATCAGGGAAATGCATATCAAAACCATAATGAAGTATCACCTCACACTAGTCAGAATGGCTGTATCAACAGACAACAATAACACATCTTGATAAAGATGTGGAGAAATGAAAACCCTTGTACACTGCTGGTAGAAATTAAATTGGTGCAGTCCCTATGTAAAGCAGTACGGAGGTCTCTCATACAATAAAAGAAAAACTATACAACCCAGCAATTCCACTTCTGGGAATTGAACTGAAAAAAACAAAATCAGTAATTCAGAAAGATATATGCACTCCTACATTATCACAGCATTATTTACAATAGCCAAGATATGGAAACAAGCTAAGTGTCCATCAACAAATGAATGGGTAAAGATGTGGTACATATATACACAATGGAATGTTACTCAGCCATAAGAAAGAATGAAATCTTGCCATCTATAAAAACATAGATGGACTTAGGGGGTATTATGCTAAGTGAAATAAGTCAGACATGGAAAGACAAATACCATATGATTTCACTTACATGTGAAATCTAAAAAACAAAACAAACAAATAGACTCAAACACAGACGATGGGCCTCTGGTTACCACAGGCGGGGGAGGGGTGTGAACATGGGCAGATGGGTGTAATAGGTAAAGGGACTTAAGAGGTACAAACTTCAAATTATAAAATAAATTAGTCATGGGATGGAAGTACAGCATAGGGAATATAGCCAATAATATTGTAATACTGTTAATGACAGATGGTAACTACACTTATGGTGAGCATCTAGTAATGTATATAATTGTCAAAACACTATGTTGTACATCTGAAACCAATATACTGTCAACTATATTTCAATAAAAAAAATTTTTTTAAAGAACAATATCTGAGTAGGATCGTAAGTAAGGGATCTGCTGAGGATGCACTGAACACATGGATGAATGAAGGCTAGCCATCTCTCCACGCCCCGACCTCCACTGGCCCTTTGAGAGATCATCCCTGTGTTTGGCCACCCTGACAATACTACCCAGCTGTGTTTCAGACTCCCTAGAGCAGTGCTCTCTCTCTCCTGTACCCTGCCCCCACCACACATACATACTTTGAGTAAGAAATCCACTTACACCAAGTTCCTGCAACGCTGGAGGAACAGTGTTCCAGTTTTTGTGAAAAGGGACTGACGTGGAATTAACAGACCCAGATTTGAAGCCCAGCTCTGACGCCTACTGGCAGAATGACCTGGGGACAGGTACTTTGGTCTCAGAGCCTTAGTTTCCTCATCTATAACTTGAAGACAAAATCCCCACAGAACCTCTGGCCTGTTATGAGAATTATACGAAATACAGTGCAGAAGTGGTTCTACCCACTCACAGATAATGCAGAGCAGCAGCACGTCCCCCTGGCCATGAAGAGGACAGGCCACCATGGTCACTTGGGACTCACAATATGAAAGCTGGAACCTATTTTATTTGCAAGTTCAGAAGCTTCTGTATGTAACCATCCCCACCCCACATGAGAAAAAGGCCTGGTATTCAGAAGATGCTAGGAAAATGCACCCCTTGCCTACATTTGTTGCTATGAAGTGCAGGAGCCCATCTAACCTATGGATTTACTACTGCCCTGATGTGTTTTTACACACATTATCCCATTTGAAAGATCTTGCATAAGAGGAAAGGTGCACATGGAGGGTAGCTGTGACCTTAAAAACAACACTCTGGGGAACAGGGTTCAAGAAAGATTACTGGAAGTTGGCATGACCCCTTTTGGATTCTTCTGCAAATCCACTCTGGCACTTTTGCCAGTTCTGACCTCCCATGGCCACACAGAATCCCATGCACACAAAGGGCAGGCCAAGGCCTTCTAACTGCCTTGTAGGCCCCCCACAGAGCTACACCCCATGGGCTATCTGCTTTGTACTGAAGTTTATTTCTCTAAACTATGGGAAAGATACTGAAATGGGGTTCCTTCAAATCTTCCCAATCAAGGAAGCCTCAAAAACCACTTTGTCTCCAGACCTTTGCAGCCCTCCTTAGGCCCACACCCAAAGGAGAAGAGTGCAGTGTGCCCAAGGGTGCATTCGGGGCACTTCTGAACACACTCCAGGTTAACAGCTGAACTCACTTTGAAACAAATGAAAGGGACCAGGCAAATGTCCTAAGAGCAAGGGGAGAGGATTAGTAGGTGAAAATCATGTCCTTGGTGTAGCCCAGTTTCTCCAGGTTAGGGTGAGCAGCTGTCTGGATCAGAGGTGGTGGGCCACACACCAGGATGAATGTGGATTTCCCAGGAGGAGGGAGATGTTCCTTGATCATGTCAGCAGTAATGAAGCCAGAGCTGTACTTCCAGCCTGAGATTAAGCAGAAGAAATCACCTGCGGGGTGCCACATTAAGTCCCTGACCCCAGGCCTCCTACCCTTCCTTCCTGAGGCCAGGGAGAGGGAAGCCAGGCTGCTCTCTAAGGCCCAGAAGTCTGCACTACTGTTCTCTGCAGAAAAGCTGGGAGTAGAAGCCATGGGGGCCCAGGCAGCCCTCTTCAGTATTTATCCCAGAAGCCACTCTCCCTGCTGGGGCTCTGAGGCCCCCTGCTGGTGTTCGCCTGCTGTAAGCCCTAGCAAGGACGGAGAACATGACAGTGAGGTGGGATGTCCCAAGGTGTGAATCAAGGCAAGGAGCCAGGGCTGTGGGAGGCGGTGTGCTGTGCACTTGAGGCTCAACTGGAAGGCACCCTCTGCTGGGCAGTGAGCTGTAGGACAAGGCAGGCACAGCTCAGTGCAGTGTGGGACAGCATCCTGAAGGTGTGGTGGACATGTATGGTGTGCATGGCAGTGGTGGCGGCTGGGTGTGGTAACAATGCATCAGCTGGTGGGGCTCAGCAGGTGAGGACTGCTCTCCAGGTGAGGTGGGTGGTAAGGGGTAAAGGGGCCAGTGGCGTACACGATGCATCATGGGTGAAGGCTCTGTGGGATGCTGGGTGCAGTGCGGCATGGAGCGGGCATTCAGGGTCCCTCCTGATGCTCACTGTAGTGTGTGGAGAGCTGCTGTGATATCGGACACCTGCCCTAGACTGCCCTTACAAGCAGGTTGTCCCAAATCCTCTCTTCTTCAAATTCCTGCATTTGCCATGTGGAGACAGAGCCAAAGGTCTCAGCCCTCTAGTGCAGTCCTAACAAGCAAACCAACCCAGGGACTAGTTCCTGAGGAGGTCAAGGGTTCCTGAGCCAGTCAAGGGGATCATACCAATAGGAGGCCTGTCCAGGGTGTACCAGAGACTGAACTGGTCTGGGCGAATTCTGGCAACTTCTTCAAGCTCCTTTCTCATCAAGATATCCTCCTCTATCTAGAAAAGAAGCAACGTGAGCAAAGCCCCAACCAGGACACCCTGCATGTTCCCCAGACTAAGCACATGAGTCCGCACCTTCCTGCCCAAGCTACCGCTGCTCTAGTTTGAGTGCTCTCCCCGTGACCCCTGGGGCAAACAAAGGCTCCACTGCAGGATGCTGCACAGGAGCCTCTCTGTGGTGCAGAGGCTGAGAAACCCCATGGAGTTATTGTGATTGCCCTCCAGCTAGAAGGCCATGGCTGTGCATGTGCAGCGTGGCCTCTCAGAATCCCAGCCTACCTCCAACAGCCATGCTGTGCGCCAGGCATGCTAAACCCAAGTGGAACAAGCTCGATGCAGGCCCAGGACCTTCTTCAGGGAATGTAAGGGGCTACGGCATTATACACAGTTAATAAAACAGCACTGGAGAACTAAAGGGGGTGACAGCAAAGGCGGGTGCTTCATTTGGGGGAAAGGGAGCCAAAAGCAAAAGAAAGTTGTCACAGGCTAAAAGATTCTGCACGGAAGACCTGAACCTTAAAACTCTTCACAATTCTTATCCCAATAGTTCCATTTCTGAGGTTCTGTTTAAGAAAATAATCTAAAAGTCATTGAGCCAAGACACAACTATTCCTGTTATCACTTATGACTATGAAAACTAAAAGCAACCTGAATGCAGAAGATTTAGTAAATTTTGGAGCAACTTGATATAGACCGGTGAAAATATCTGTAGAGTTTTAATGAGAAGAAAATGCCTGTGTGGTAATGCTGAGTGAAAAAATAAAACAAAAAATTATATACATGTTATTATATAGCATGTATAGAAAAAAGAAAAAAATAAGCCATATATTTATATGCTTCCCCATTTTCTGAAATTTCCAGAGAATATCTATAATTTTACACTCAGAAAGAATTAAGAAGTAAGGAAAGAAGGAAGGCTTAGTGTCTAGGACTGGTTAAGGAGACAGAGTTAAAAATTAAGATGGGAAAGCAGGCCTGGGCTGAGCCTCCCACTAGGGCTCCTGCAGAGGCAGGCATGCAGGCAGCCTGCGCTCAGTCGGCTGGGAGGAATGAACGCAGAGGCCCTGCTGGGCAAACACTCCACCTGCCCTGCAAGCTCGGCTGACAGCAGAACTGACCTGGTTGCCGAGGAGGAGGGACATCCTGGTCTTGTCTCTGGGGTCTCTGGTGATGTGGCGAATGAGCTGCAGCATGGGCGTGATCCCTGGAACACAGCGGACAGACCGTCTTCTCTCCCTCCCCGATGTCCACTGTCCCTAGTCTATAGCTGATTAATAGCCTTCCTTGGCCCCAATTCTACTTTCCTCATTTCTGTCCCCAAAACGCAAAGTGGGGCACCATTCTTCATTTCAGTTTACCCTTCTGATGCACCAATAAACCAAAGGCCCTTCCTCCTTTCCATATGCAGGATAGAAGAGGCGCTGGCTGTGGCACCGGCATGGGGGTCCCCTCACTCACTAACCGACCAGGGCTCAGTGTACCCATCTCAGCAAGGCAGTGTCCTCTTTCACAAAACCACCCACGACAAGTAAATGTGACAAAGTGCCTGATACGGTGCTTGACACACTGCAGGTTTCCTTACATGTTTGTTCTATTTTCAGGCATTCATTTTCAAGGAATGGCAGGTATCAGACTTGAACTGGACCTGCAGACCTGGCCCCCAGACTCTTCCATGTCTCCCAGCCTGACTTCAGAGGCGCCCCAGGACTCCTCAGGCAGCCACTGTGTTGGTTAAGGGGAGCAGGGCACAGAGGATTAGTTTCAAGGCCTGTCACTGACGCTGTGATCTCATCTAAAATAACCAGGGAAGAAATCTCTCACATCACCCATTCTAGGATCAAATGACACTAATATCAGAAAAGTCTCAGGGCTTACCCAATGGGGCCCCCAGAAGCCTCTTACCTGTGCCACCAGCAATCATTCCCAGATGATGGACCAATTTTTCTTCAGGCTCACTCGTTTTGTATAGTTTTATTGAAAACTTCCCTAGAAACACAGAGGACACGTCTGACTTCTGCAGCTCTTACCTGATCGCCTGCAGAAGATCACTGCCTTTCCTTGGGACTCCTGGGAGGCAAGTTCACCCAGGGAAGTGGCTATGCTATTTTACCAGAGGGCAAGCCAGGCCCTCCTGGGCCAGCCCCAGTGCACAAGGTGAGGGGCCTGGGCCTCCATGGGGAATCACTGGACCTTTTCTTCTGAGGAAGTTCTGTACAGCCTCACAGGGCACTCTCACCCACCGCACTGAATGAGTGAGTCAGTGATAAATATGTGGTAAAGGAATCAGTGTGGACTCTGCCCATCAATCCACTTTTCAGCATCAGGAGGCACCTTTTACAGATTGGGCATTGTGCTGGAGACACAGTGATGAGGAAACACCGAATCACTTCCCTACCTTAATGGAACTTAAAATCTTGTAAAGTGGGTATATAAATGAATGTATGAAGACTTTAAGGACAAATCCATGTGACTCAAATCTGAGGAGTTTTCTAGAACAGTGGAGCAACTTCAGGATTATTATTCCTCCCAGCTGTAGGCCCAATCTGAACCCCCTAGTACCTGGCCCATGATACAACAGGCGCCCCATTGGCCCTCGAAAAAGGATGGTGTCCCCAATTTTCATATTCTCCAGGTACTGAGTCATCTTTCCCCCTTCTGGATAACTGGGGTGTACATTTTTGAAGTAGATCTGAAAAATAAGGCAGCATGGTTTTCACACCCTCAGACCTAAGACCATGGCCACATACAAATAAAAAATGCATTTGCTACTGGGAAGGATGCAGACAAACTCCTCTGCACTCACATTTGCTCTAAGCAACTCCTGAGGATTCACCAGGTCAACAGCTTCCCTCTTAAATGACACTTTTGGAAAGCCCTGTCTAAGGCAGGTGTCCCTTCTCCAACTTACCACTCTTTTTTTTTTAAATTAAGGTATCATTGATATACAGTCTTATGAAGGTTTCACATGAGCAACAATGCATTTCACCAGTCACCCATATTATCAATTCCCCCCCCCAACACACACACTGCAATCACCATCTATCAGAGTTACTGCTTTCCAACCCACCACTCTTAATAGGCTTGGGAGAGTGAGGCAGCTGGACATGGTGCGCATCACTTACCTTTATAATTAAATCCACAAAGCCTTGATCATCATCACTGGACACAGGCGTGTAAGCCCTGACCACCAAAACATCATCAATTTTGGCCAAGAGATGGACATAGTTACCTACAGAAAAGGTATCAGATGTTAAGCTGGACCCAGGATTCCCAGAAAGGACTGAGCTTCAGGGAGGTGGATGCATAATGTGGCAGGACACATGAGAGGAGGGCCAAGCAGGGAAGGAGCCCACATCCAGGATGACTAGATCCCAGGCCTGCCTCTATCACTCCACGCACTACCTTGGGCAAGTCGCTTCACCCCTCTGGGGAAACGGGTATGATACACCTGCCCTGCCTCCATCATAACGTAGTTGTGAGCTTCACATACAGGAAACCTACTGTTTCAAAGGACTTTGTGGAACAGGAATAGCTAATTAAAGTTGGAAGCTGAGTATTAAAAATAGCAGAAAGGAGTGTTTCCCTTTTAAAAAAAATTTTTTTCTAAACTGGTTATATCACAGTCCCCTCATCTGTATCCTGCTGCTTAGCACAGAGCAGGCCTGAGCTCACAGGTGCACAAGGCCCCAGGATTTAGACATCCACAGACCAGGAGTTCTAGAAAGAGCACTGTATCTTCCTGACTGATGGCTCTGCTGGGGGGCAGCAGTGGTTTCAACCATGTAATGCTGCTCCTCCAGGTTAGAACTGAATGGACCAGGTGTGGATCATGGATCATGAATATATCCCAGTGTCACATGATAGACTGGACTGTTCAGGTTTCTGTTGCATTTAACACGGGAGACTGCAGTGACTAAGGCAATTAGTGGTAAGGGCAGAAGCTGCAATTAACAAAGGCTAAAAGATGGAGGCAAGAGGAAGCTCTGTGCCATCTCACCAAGTAAAAACTGTGTATGCACAGGAAATATGGCATGAATATGCAGACAAAAGCAGAGACCTAGGGAGAAACAGGAGGGACAGGAGGAAAGGAAGGACGGGGCACTAGAGGGGCCTGTCCTTCCAGCTGCTTCAGGAACATAAGCCAAAGTCTCTGAGGAGGGCCTGGGTACAAATACTCTGAGCTTAAGAAAAGACAGGTTCCATGCCTCCGGCTTCTGCCTGACTGGGCGCCAGGGATACCCAGGAATAAATGCCTGAGGCAGCTTCCTTCTGAGAATGAATGTGAGTCTGGAAACCTTAGAAAGGCTCTTTCAGATGAAGCCAACCTGGGAGGGGCCTGACCTGGCAGCATCCTCAGAGAAAATGGGGCTTCCCCAGCTAGTCCCTCAGGCCCCATCTCTAACCAGCTTCATTTCAGCAGAGCTTGGAAGCACAGTAGACTCTCCCAGATGCCTCTAAATTACCCTGTCCCAAAACTTTGCACTGCCTACACCAGACTGAGGAGAGAGTGGGTCACAGCAGAATCTAAGGAATGCTATAGCTCAAAGTTTTTCATTCTTCTAGCCTACTGGCCCCACAGGCCAAGCAGAGGGCTGGAAAGCAGGCTGACTCTGAACCCTCATGGACAGAGATGGAGGGAGGAAGCAGCAGGATGCTCAGGAGGGGCAGATCGGCTGCCTAGTGTGTAATTTTATCATGACAGAGGTGAGGTGGAGGTTTTGGCGCACGCACACAGGACAAGCAGGCCATGGATGAGGACCTCCGCTATGCAGGCAAGCAACACTAGCAGTTTGTAGAAAGCTCTGGATCCCCAGGCTGTGGACCTAGCAAAGGTTTTCCACCTCACTAAGACTGACTTAGCTGCCTGGTGGTGTCACCGACTACAAACGGGTTAACTCGGAACTCTAGGGCTGCTAACGTCCATGTTCACAATGGGTTCCTCCTTGTGTGGGTCTAAGGCCCCTGCTGAGAACCCACATGGTGGGGGACGGGGGTAGGGGGTTCCTCCTGCCTCCATTCTGGGCCTTTGTCCTGACCGTAGGGGAACATCAGTTCCTTCCATCCCTCCCATGTGCACAACACTTGGCAGTTTCTGAATTTTCACATCCACCAGTCACTTTACCCTCACAACAGCCCAAGTGGCAGGCAGGCCTCGGAAACCCCATTTCATAGACTGAGGCTCAAGAGACTGAGGAACTTGTCATAGGTTGTCCAGCAAGGAGCCTACAATAAGATCTTAGACCTTCAGACTCTAGACTCACATCTTTTCAGTGTCCTTTGAGATAGTACTGTTGCGTCAGCCCAAAGTGACCAATGACAGAGGGAGTGGACTGTTCCCAGGCCCATCTCCCTACCTCTCTGAGCTCAGGTATCACAGGAACGGTATCAGGCAACCTCTACACTCCTGCTGAGTTTCTGATAGGAGCACAGGGCCTGCAAGACCCCAAAGGCCACTCACCTACAGGGAGCCCTAGAATGTGGTCTGGTGAGGGCAGTCCAAAACGGAACCTCCGGGTGTTGTGGCTGATGTGCTAATAAAACAAAACAGAGGAAGGCTCTCTCAGCTTTCTAGAAGCCTTGCCGGGCAGCTCACATGCCTGAGAAAGGAGCTCCACTTGGTGCATGCCAACAGGTGTGCATTTGTGCACACACACACACACACACACAATGGGTGGGGGTCACAAACTGGAGGCCATGAAGTGCCTGTTCCATTAACTCACCATCCCAGCCAGCACATCCCCCACCACTCATATCCTCTTTCACCTGCCTCTGGTTGAGGGAGTGGACTGATCCATTACCTCTTTCTCAATCAAGGGCAGAGAGTACTTGGTTTCAGAGTCTTGCAAGGTGATAAGTTTTCTCCTCCTTGAGTTCATATTCTTTAGGGCCACCAGGAGCACTGTGACCCCAATGATGGTGATGGCAAGGAGCAGGGATGGGTCCTAGCCAGTCACAATGTGAGCAAAGCACCTCAGGTCCTGCGTGCCCTGGGCAGGACAGCTCACAGGCACAGCGGCACCCTCACCACACCAAAGGCGCAGAAGAAGCTGGGCTGTGCCTGAAAGAAACTAGGTGAGAGGAAAAAGCACCAAAACATGAAGCCAACAGGTAGCCTCCTCAGAGAAGCCTCTCAGACTTCTCATTAACCAGTCAAAGAGAGTCCCTGGCCCTCAATGGTGTGTTGACAGCAATTAGGAATTCAGGAAAGTGGAGGTTGCAATAACAAGGTAAAGCAAACTCAGTAAATACATGTTATGACAGGACCCATTGTTCCTCCCTCAAAATATGCAGATAAACTCTTAACATGTGTCTTCTTGAGGTGTTTCTGCAGAAACTCAGACCCCATCAAGTAGACCACCTGCTGGCCACAAGCATCTAGGCCACAGACAACTGGAGTCAGAAGACTTGCAACTAAGAGACCTGAGATAAGCCCCTAGTACCTAACCACTGACCAGTCACAAGAATGTGCACTAGCTGATCACACACCCTGGGACCCTCACTCATAATTTTGCCCTTAATTCTGCTTGTAACCCAACCGGGGAGTTCAGGAATTTACACATTAGCAGCCCAGACTCCTTACTCCATAGCCTGCAATAAACTCGCCTACTTTCTTTCACTACCCCCCCGTGTCACTGTTGGGCTTGCGGTGGAATGGTCGAGCAGGGCCCGAACTTGGCCTGGTCCAGTAACAGACAGAAGGCAGGCTGCGCCTACCATGGATGGCAGGGACAGGTGGGTCGGTGCGTCAGCTGCATGTAGGCTGGGCCAGGCAGGATGTTTCAGGCCTCCTGCTCATCTGCCTCCATCCTGGCTACAGCCAAGGGTGCAAGCCCTGGGAGTCTCCTCCTTGAGCTGGAGGAGGTGATGACATTACTTCTAACCCACAGTCTAGAATGAAGGCCCCAGTCCCCAAGGGCAAAACTCCTCCAGGGGTTGTTGTGGCTGGGAGCTAGTGGGGTGGGGGGCTTCCTCTCCCAGTACTCCCCCTATCCAGGCCCAGCATGGGCAGGGGTTGGGTTGGGGTACTTCTGTCTTGGGAGTGCTCCATTACCTTAGGGCCTCGAGTCAACTACACCCTCCAAAGCAGGCGAAGGGGGCCCAGCACTCACCTGCCAGCGGCTGGGCTGGCCTCCCGCATCCGCCCCCAACCCTGCCACCCCGCTCTGCCAGGCCGGCTTCCGACACCAGTCCGAGTCCGATCGGTCGGGCTCCGGAAAGTCCTCAGGGCTCTCCACCTCACGCCGGGCGCCCGCCCCTCGCCGTCCCACCCACCGGCCGACGCCGGCCTCCCCGCCCGGTCCCTGACTCCCTATTCCCGCTCCGGGCGCCCCGTCGGACTCTCCCCGGCCCTCGCCCGTCTCCACGTCTCCGGCCTCTTCCCGCAGGGCCGTCCGACCCCCGGGAACACACCTGGAACGGGACACCAAACGTCGTCGAGGCGGGGCCGGCTGGGAGCCGGTGCGCGTCTCTCCGACCCCGCAGGCCCGCGATCTCCGGGCGCCGCTCTGCAACCGCGCCTGGCGGACGAGAGACGCTGAGCCAACCGCGGGCCGCGCTCCCCGCGGCTGACCCCTCACCCCGCCAGGCGCACTCTGAGCGGCCCTGACGGAGAACCCCCACTCCTCCGCTTGTTCAAATTGTGGAGAGGCTGGAGGGAGGGAGGAGCGTCTGGATGACCGGGAGGAAGGGGGTGCTGGTGAAAGAAAAGGGCATTCAAAAAGAAAACAAAAGAAAAGGAAAGTCAGGCCAATTCGAAGACTGCATAAATATATCCTTGCGACACTCATACTGAACTCCGACTCTGAGCCTGGTCAAGGGCCAGGTGTTGCTGCAGTGGGGCTGTAATCGAGGTAAAGAAGACAGTCGTTCAAAGGGCTCATTGATTCACTCGTTCATTCGCTATTGGAGAGAGAAATGGAAGGAACCCAACACTAGACCTAGAGGAGGCAGAATGTCGGACATGGACAGTTATGGGGGTCCTTCACGTAGGTTTCAGAGCCTTGGTAACTCCCCTCCCCCATCAGTTCTCTATTGCCGGTGTCAAAGGTAAATCCCTGCCTCTTGGGCAGGATTGAGACGGAGAAGTCAAGGAATAGATAACTACCCCACTGCCAGCCCCGAAACACACACCAGGGTAATGTAGAGAACACTTCCCCTGACCTGCAGATGCGCGGAGAATGTCAGATGTTTTCATTTTGACAATCTAATAACTAAAACCATGGCTTGTGAACCTGATTTACTTACCTAATTGCTAAGGAGGTTGAACATCTTGCATGTGTTTGTTTCTCAGAGAGCTGCTTTTTCTGGGGGGGGAAAAAAGCCTACTTGTGACTTTTTCCCCTTTTTCTATTGACTTATCTTTTTCTTGCTGATTTTTAGGCATCTTATATGTTTTTTGCCAGTTACATCAATTGCAAATGTTTTCTCCCAGTGTGTAGCTTACTCTGCCTTTCTCTCTTTCCTTTCTTCTCCCCTCCCTTCCCTTCAGCTCCTGCTGTCTTTGTCTCAAAGCCATCTGATGAATACGCGTGTGTGATTGCAATGCAGTCAAATGTATCAATCTCCAATCTTTTGCTTTTATGGTAGTACTTTTTGTGACTTGTCTATTCCTAATCATAAAGATATTCCATATTTTCCCTGACAAGACCTTCTTTCTCTCTGACAAGATTTTCCCTTCACATATAAGTCTCTCAACCACCTAGAACTGATTTCTGTGTATGATGGGAAGCAGGGATCCAATTTGATCTTTTCCATATGGATAATATGTTGCTTCAGTGCTATTTATTGTAGTTATCGACTTGCTCAAACCTGGTCACTAACTTGCAATGCCATATATCAGTTTTCATGTATGTATGAGTTGGATTCTAGCCTCCCTGTTCCTCTTACATTGATCTAGTTGCCCAACCCCTGTGGCAATACCACACTGCTCTAATTGCAATAGTTTATAACAACTGTTTATATCGTTCACTCTTATAAGTTCTTTGGCTCTCAGTTCAAATTTCACTTCTTTAAAGATGCCTGATCCCATCCCCCAATTTAAGTAGATTTTACAGTTTGTAATTATATATCCTGAATACTTAATTGTTAAATGGCTGATTCTCACATTAGTCTGGAAGTTCCATTAATGGCAAAGACCTCATTTCCCCAGGACTTAGCACAGTGACTGTCACATAGATAACATTCAATAAATATTTAACGAATGAGTTAATTAATCTCTGCCCTGCAGCATTTAGCACACAGCCTGGGACATGGTGGATAAATACTACTCATGGTAGATGCTCCAGAAAAAAACAAATTATGCCCCTTCTGTGCTTAATTTGTCTCTGTAAAACATGTCACCAGATGACATACATATTTTATCTATTTGTTTAGTGTCTTTGTTTTAACTCCTGCTGCATCCTGACCATCATAATGCTGTCTGGCACTTGGTAGATGCTCAATAAATATTTGTTAGATGCATGAATGAAAGAACAAGCTTTATTTTCTTCCTTTGAGTCAATCAAAAATTTTTATTTTTGGCTTTAGAATCCATAGGCACCTCACTTTTTCCTAGTAGTTCTTCTTAGTAGTTAGCCTCTTCCCCCCACTCTTCATTCTCATTTTCCTTCTATGTTACCAGAGAGGCAGACAGTACAGCCTCCTTTATTAATTGTGGACCAGGATAAAAGCAGGCATTTATCTGGGCACCTGATACTTTTGAGAGGGCAATGATTCTCCTGGCTTCTCAGCTCCCCTGCACTCTTCTTATGTGTCTCTCCCATGCTCCCATGCTGTTTGGTTTGGTACATCTTCTACTAATCTGACATAAACCATGAGCACATCTCGCTCCCCAAATCCCCAGCTCTGCAACAGGGCCTGATGAAGAGTGGGCTCTCATCACGTGTTTGCTGAAACAAGAAAGAATGACCATCTATTGGTGTCACTGAGCATATATGAGACTCCATTTCTGCAGGGTAGCTTCCTTCTCCTGTGTGGGGACTAAGCCCCTTTCACTGTTGAGACACCCCTGGGGGAACTGATGCGGTGGCCAATTTAAAGCTGGCTGAGTGTATGCTCTCTAAACAATTTCCAGGCTGTTGTGGGCTTTTTGTTTGATTTTTAACTAGAAAAAGATTTATTTCCACTTTACCCCTTGAACAAATGACCACCTCTAAGGTCTTCCCCAAAAGTACCCACATCCTAAGTCCCAGAACCTGTGAATGCTGCCTTATAGGGCAGAAGGCACTTTATGGCTGTGATTAAGTAAGTTAAAGATCCTGGGATGGGCAGACCATATGGGGTTGTCCATTGGGCCCAACGTGAGCACAGGAGGCAGAAGCAGCCATTTGAGCAACAAACTCTGAAGTTGGAGGAAGGGCCACAAACCGAGGCACGCAGGTGGCCTCTAGAAGCTGCAAAGGCAAGAGAAAAGATTTCCTTGAGAGCCTTTGATAGGAATTGGCCCTGCTGACACCCTGATTTTAGCCCACTGGAATTGGTTTTCTACTTCTGGCTTCCAGAACTATAAGAGAATAAATATGTGCTGCTTAAAGCCAGTAAATTTGTGGGGACTTGTTACAGCAACAATGAGAAACTAATACACTAAATGAACTATTATTTTGTTTGCTTATACTTTGATTTACTCCAAAACCATCTTTTCTGTGATTTGAATCAGAGGAGCCAGGGGATGACCCCCACTCTGGTTCTGATGCTTTTGCTGCTCTGATTGTGAGACTCTCCTCCTGTGAACCCCCTCCCTCCTGCTGCCGGCCAAGTCTTCAGCTTGTTGTCTCTGCCAGGCCATTTCAGCCATCCACCCACTCAATCCTTTTGTCTTCACCCTGGTTCTGGTCTCTCCTTTGTGCATTGTGCAAAAATGTCATCCTGAACAAAGAGTCTCAGCAGACACATCTAGCTGACTGGGTAAGCTTTAGGAGAGAAAACCGATGGAGCGCCTATCCCACTCCAAGCATACAACACCACGACTGATCAGAGTATTTTCTTAATTGAATTTCCTTGGTTTTCCTCTTCAATGATTTTTTTTGTATCATTAATCAACAATTACATAAGGAATATTATGTTTACTAAACTACCCCCATCACCAAGTCCCCCCACAAACCCCGTTACAGTCACTGTTCATTAGCGTAGTAAGATGCTGTAGAATCACTACTTTTCTTCTCTGTGTTGTACAGCCCTCCCCGTACACCCCTCACCTACATTCTGTCTGCTAATACTAATGCCCCCTTTCTTTTTCCCCCTTATGCCTCCCTTCCCACCCATCCTCCCCAGTTCCTTTCCCTTTGGTAACTGTTAGTCCATTCTTGGGTGCTGTGATTCCGCTGCTGTTTTGTTCCTTCAGTTTTTGCTTTGTTCTTATACTCCACAGATGAGTGAAATCATTTGATATTTGTCTTTCTCCACCTGGCTTATTTCACTGAGCATAATACCCTCTAGCTCCATCCATGTTGTTGCAAATGGTAGGATTTGTTTTCTTCTTATGGCTGAATAATATTCCATTGTGTATATGTACCACATCTTCTTTATCCATTCATCTAC